TTGTGCAGGAAGAGGCGAGGCATACTATCGCAGACAGAGGGAGACAGAGAGCCAGACAGAGAGCTAGCAGATACTGGACAATGGCCAGAAGCCACGGCGATGGTCCGATAAAGTGAGAGACGAAAAATAACTGACACAAATGGCGGTCGATGCCGTACGGCGGAAAGAAAGCGGCAACATGATATTGGAGCAGCGGTAAAGACATGACGCTGTTCGTATCGTGCGGACAGAGCCGCCGCCGTGCCAGTCTCGCTACCATGCGCTAGGGCGAGGCCATACCGTTAGACCAGATTGGCCAATGGCAACAGCATTCATAGAGGCGAAAAGATTGTACCCCATCTGAGCTTACAAAAAAAAACTGATATCATTGCTATTAAAAACTAGCAAACTGATGGAGCCCCAGCGGCACGGGATTGGTCTTCAGCCAGTCACGTGATCTGACATTAACGAGTCAGAGTCGTTCCACGGAATCCTCGGTTGCCATCAGCAGTATTTTAATAGAAGTATCATGGTTCACGAACAGGGAAACTTTATGTGGAAAAACTTTACTGTATGTGGGAGGAGGTTGCATGAAATATAGCGAAGAGCATAGCTTCATTATTCATAGCCATATAATATAAAGATAAGAAACATAATATTTTGACATATAGAGGCGTAATAAATCGCGATTCCAATGTGCGTCATAACGTTGTATTGCATCAGCTGCCACCTATGATCTAATGTGTCTTTCCACGATAAGCTTTTTGACGCATTTAAAAACCTGGCAAGCGTCATGCCAACACAAGTAACAAAACAAAGCGCATTATGGCGTAATGCCACCACAGGCTGACGCGATATGATGTGTCCTATAACAGTTTTCCTCACCTTCTCCGCCCATTACTTCCAGACGGAAATGCTGAATTAGTGTAAGCACATTGTACCATGCAAGGTATCATTATGGATTGGAACCAAGAAAAACGAGCATTTGCAAAACAGCGCATTGTTGATCCCCAATAAAACGACTTCGGTAATCCAAGTAATATCAAAAGAAAGCACTATATCAGCAGCATGCCAAATCCCTAGCAAATCAAGCATATGCATCAATGTCTGAGATATCGTCCGCAACCAGCTTAGCACTACGACCTAAGCCACGGGTACGTCTTTTGGACAACTGCCTGCGCCTACGGCACCTGTCTAAATTCCTGCATCCCATCCGTCACCAATGCCCGTCAAAGGTCAATATACCCTGGATCAAAGGTCATGTGACCCGCCGTGTACTTGGCGTCATGTCCGTGAGTGTCATGATCAGGGGCATCCACGGTGGGCCGGTGGGTCGCCCATGTAGGAATCGATGAGGAAGGACCGCTTTGTGACGTCTCCAGGGACCTTTCTCCAGACGTCGTCGTCTGCATGAATGTATTAGAAACATTGCCAAGGCGGCCTTTTTGAAGCTATTTCCTATGCGGAAGCAGACAAGCCCAGGGGGCGCGTTCAGTTTCTCGAGGCGTTGAACGAAAGGTGCAGAGGACGTATCACGGTCCACAGGGCTTCAACTGCCTGAAGCTTTTGTGCCATGGGATGACTGCATAGTGCAAGTAATATAAAAAGTGAAAATATAAAAAACTAATACAAAAAAATGATATTAAAAACTTCAATCACCTGACCCCACCTCTCAAAAACATGCGTGTATTGGCCGGAGAAAAACGTCTATTTCTCAGTCCAGTTTTGTTTGCATTTTGTATGAAGACCACGCTCAGTGCTTTCGTAGGCCGGCAGCTCCGAGATTCGGTAGGGGTACAGGGGCCACACAAGATAAAGTTCGCCACGGATGAATCTCACCCACCCGACAACTGTGCTGTTGGCTCGGCGCCTCGAGAGGCCCCGTGTCGAACTCCCGGGGTCAGGCTGAGTCATTTCGCCCCATTCATCCCGATCCCCCACCTCTTCACGACTCGGTTCCAACTTCCAGAACCATTGGTGGAAACCACATCATAAACCGAGCGTTGGTGGGTCCTCATTGCTACACCCTCAACAGCCAGCCGCACACCCACTGTACCCAAGCGAACGGCACACAAACGCACTACCTATAGAGTGGGGTTGATCTGGTTTTCAGGGAGAGCATGTTGCCGACTGCTAGTCCGGTGAAATGGGGTTGAGTTAAATCAGGCGCGGATACAAGGGGGGGCCATGGGGGCCATGGCCCCCCCTTGGCCGATTTTTTTCAAAAATAAAATAAAAAGTTAAAAAGTTAAAAAGCTGAAAAGGGGGCCTCCTGAAAATAAAGTGGCCGAAATCCGATGAGTTTTTTTTTAACCTACCCACTTAGTTATTTCTTAGAAGACTAGCTGAGAAGACTTCCTTGTTAGAAGATTGGTAAAGCTTTTCATAACTTGGAGGTCTCTTATACTCACAGAGATGACCACTTTTACAGGGCCTCCTAACCTGCACAGAGGGCCTCCAAGCCTGCACAGATGTTGAGATGTTGCCTGAACAGCTAGATAAGCTCAATAGACGCAGTTTTTTTTTTGGGGGGGGGCCCAACAAGTGGGAAGATGGGGCCTCCAACAGGTGGGATTATGGGGGGGCCTCCTGGTTTCTAATGGCCCCTCCCTTGGAGATTTTCTGGATCCGCCCCTGAGTTAAATCCTCAGGTGGATCTCTACTCTATACAATTAGACCAGCGTCCGTCCATGAACATCAGACTTTAGAATAAAGCGAGAGCTCCATTGAATAATTGGTCCTTAACCCTCGCCCATGTAGGGGGGGGTTGGTGCAACCCCCCCCCCCCCCCTGAGGTTTTTCGGAAATAGTGCAAAAACGGCGGCGCGCAGCGCCGCCAAATTTTGGGCACCTTATGGGGCAAACCTTGCGCATCTTTTGATAAAAAAAAAATTTGACCGGGTCATGTCAGGTCACGGAGTTATGACGTCACAAAGGGAACAGCCTCCGGCCGGATTTTCACAAACTGAGTGCCAACGCCCGAGGTTTCCTGCCGGTGGTACGGACATCGGTTGATGGATCGTGATGAAACTTCCCATGCATGTTGGGGCAAGTATTGGCTATCATATGGTATAAGAAACTTGACCGGGTCAGGTCAGGTCACGGAGCTATGACGTCACAAAAGAGGAACAGCGTCCGGTACTATTTTTGAAAAGCGCCCGAACCACTATTTTGCTAATTCTTGTCACCTCAATGGGAATATGCAGCAATATTAGCTTCTATAGGGAGCAAATGGACCTCCCAAATCCAAAAATACAATCAGATTTCAAAAATTTAAATTTTGATTTTTCGAATTTCTGCCGCCGACTGTGACCTTGCCAACTTCCGGCGCTCCCAACGCGCCATTTTTAGAGCTAGGGAAACGAAATACATACCAAACGATAGAGAATTGATCAAGGAACACGATAGTGAAAGTTTCAAGTCGATATCTCCCACCGTTTTGCCGCAATCGCCGCGGAAAGTTGAAAAAAGTCTATTTTTCCGAAAATTTGACCTTTGACCGGTCAAAAGTAGGTCAAATGTTGACCTAGGACCAAAAAATATACCACCAATCGCGAGATCTCGGCGAGAGCAATCCGTTGGTCTTTTCCGCTAAGCTCTACGACGCTCCGTTTTCAAACGCCAAGGGGGGGGTCGCACCAACCCCCCCCCCCCCCTGCATGGGCGAAGGTGGCAGATCGCCGTTTACGGGCGAGGGTTAAGGGATGCGATGTTTTGTCAATAAGCTATGCCACTAGAATGGCGTGGGTATCGACCACACAAGCCAGAAATTCAATGCCCGACCGAGGCCGATGAAAGCGATGCAGCGTAACAATTGAATATTAAGTGGTCCAGGTAAAGTATCTAAAGTTCATCATGGTTCATCCAACAATTAGTGGAGGAAAATCGTCCATACTAGCCCAGTGGTGCGAAAGAAACTGGCACATCAGTGACCGTAAGAACAGGGGTTGGTTTTTACGCGGCGTCATCCCAAAGTGATCTGCTGCAAATGGGAGCAGTGAGCACTGACCCACATTTTTTAATGATGGTGCAAAAACCGCAGTGTTCGGAAACTGGTCGAAGGCAGAAGGCATAGTTCAGTGCAGCTCTTTGGGATGAACGAAAAACGTGTGACAAAACCAGGCCCAATGGGAAATGTGTCAGGCAAAAAGTCCATCAAGTATATTGTGCTGCAGATGAAAAATAGTGTCCCGGAGCAGACAAAGAGGAGCGGTAAGAAACATCATGTCTATAGTAACTTTCCGAATAGTTAGTTTGCTATTTGGGGCATCAGGTCCCAACAATAGGGGAGCGCTCAGCTATCCGTAATTCAGCTATATGTTGAGCCTACAAACACGACAGTTGGCAGCTATGTCTTATCTCCAGTCCGGGAAACACCTCCACCGGTGTCGCTCGAACGAGCCATGACACTGCTGAAGATCCTAGAGCGAAGTTCCTAACGTCATCATAACGACTGAGCGACGACAACTGACAAACAAAAACGCCTGAAGCGGGACTGAGTAGATCATTCAGCCGTGAACTCGTTTAGTGATGCAGAACGGCTCGATCAGCCACCACAGACTGTGACGGTTAGTGATGTGCAGCTTGACGTCACAGATGACGTACGTGTCTCCGTCGCGTGACGTCACCGAGTCCTGTGAGGGTCAATAGAGCATCTCCCAGCCGCTCCCGCCCCGGGCGAGACGGGACATCTCTGGGGGGCTGTCGTCGCCGTCGGCGCTCGCCCGTCTCCCCCCCCCCCATGGCTGGGGGGTCGGTCGGTCGGTCGTTGCCCTTGGGGAGGGAAGGGGCGGAGAGATGGTAATGGGACCGCGCCGGCCGGCCGGTCACTGGGTCCGCCAGCTCGGTGCCGGGTGAACGGCAATTGAAATAAGGCGAGCGAGAATGGATTATTTCAAGGTTAGACACCTGTACTGGGATAGAAGCACGTGAAATAGCAACGGGAATGTAAGAGTAGACAGTGACGAGGCTGAAAAGCAGCGAAGCCTTTCAACGGGTCGCGGAACAGCAGTGGCGCTTACCCGGGGATCTCATCTCCATCCTGGTTCTGGCGTTTGATCCGGGCTTCAGCAGTTCTGGTCTCCAGACATGACTGAAAAAATGGCACTCAGTCACCAACAAAACTGATTCAGGAGCGAGATAGGTGCAAAAACATTCCTCCTCAAAGCCACAGCCCCGGCTCCCGATATCGTCCGCTGCTATCGTCGCTACCGATCCGCTTTCTCGACCTCCCGCCCCGTGCCGCTGGCTGGCCGCCGTCATAACAGATTTCTGGAGCCGGCCGTGACCCAGCCCCACCCCCTCCCGTGCTATTTGTGGCCCCGGGGTAGGCGGGGGGAGGGGAGGGGGTACGGCTGACCGAGCGAGCACGGCGAGAGGTGGAGCGCCACGCTGCTCCTCCACCCCTCCCCCACTCCTCAGATCAAGGTGGGAGGATGCAAAAGGGGGCAGTGGTTTCACCTGTGTAGTGTTTCCACCGTTCTGTGATTAGCAAGGAAATGTCCTAACTTTCCCGAAAAGTGTTCTTTAAGTCGTTCATCCCACACCCCACACTTCCACCGTTCATCAGCCCCCCCCCCTCCCCAGCCCCCTCCCACTCCCATCAAGATTAATGATAGCCGATAAAATCGCATTCGCTGTTGGGGAAGCGCACATTGAGACTGTCAGAAATAGAATGTCAGCTGCCACAGGCATCCACTCAGCACAAGCAGGTGCAGGAAGTTATTAGACATTTTAACCTTTTTCCAAGCCTATGGGAACATAGATGTCTTAAACTTTTTCAAATAAAACAAAAATATAACTCTATCAATCATTGGTGCCGCCCACAAATCATCGCACGAGTTCTATTCCAAGGCAGCTATTTGAATTGTATTCAATCAGATTGAGATCACTCGACACTCATGACTCACTCACAAAAATGCGCAGACTTTGAGCTTTTGAGTCGCAATCGCATGACATGAGCATGTGAACTTACCAAGAATTACACAGTTATGAATCTTTGCAGAAGAAGACTTCGCTTTTTTCGTTCGTAAGTCATTTCATTTCAATTTCGAATTAGCACAACCCACTTCTCATTCCTCATCGATCTGAATAAGCATGAATAAAACTGAAACGTAAACAATTGTATTTACAATTCTGGCGCACCTATATTACTCTTCAGAATCGCTAAAATGCTGCAATATTTTGGCAAGCGGTAAATTTAAATACGCACAGCAAATGCACAAGAAAAAGACCTTGCAGTACCTACAGCTATACACCCGCGATGAGCAAACTTACTGTGTGATTGAATTATCGGGGTTGGTCTCGTAAGCTTCAATGTTGTTGGATGGATTGAATGATCATAAATTGGCTAGTGTCCTGACCACAAATTAGGGTTCATGACCTCTAAGTTCAGCAAATCCTTCAGCATCTCTGCTCATTTCATTGAGGTTTGGTTCTCACTTCTCAGATTCGTCGTAGTTTGCGTTTTACTATGTATTTACAAGAAAAACAGTAACAAGAAACATAACAACTTGGAGACAAGTTACGAGATGGCGCTCACAACCGGTGACAGTAGCACCGGCAAATGGGTTAAATTAGTTGGCATCGTCCACGATAATTATAGGCATACACTTAGACATCTACCTCAATTAAGACATGGCTCAACAGTTATTTTATGGCAAACGTACCATCGAAACCACTCCCAGACGGTCAATACATCAATCAAAAGAACTGTCAAAGTCAGCAACAGCACTCAGCAGTCCTAAGGTCAGATTTCGTTCATCCACGTCTTTTACAGACCACGTGGCAAGCGCCTTCTAGTCACGCGGGTACCTACGCGGCGTTGTGACCTGGCGCCAAGCCTCCGCCGCCGAGCCTTGCTCTCGGCCTTCTGGATCCTTCTGACTTCTCTGTAGACGGTGCCGGCTGCCCCTGAGCAGGCCGAAGCACCGCCGAGGGAGCATGGGCCGACGCAGGCCGCCGCGGGCACCCCCAAGTCCAGAACGGACAGCAGCGTGACGCACGTGAAACAGCCCGCTATGGCACCGCTGCATTTCGTTATACTCGGGAAAATTGTCAGGTGAAAGTCCTCCCTCAGCTTCTGTGCCTCCTCATTGGGGCGACTGCCGCGCCGCCGCTCGGCATGGTCGTCAAACACGACTGGGTAGGTGTCGCTACTATAACCTGAATAGGTGTCGCTACCGTAGCCACCAAGATGCGGTGCGCTGCCATGCGCTGTGGTGTAGGGGTCGTGATTGTAGAGCTGCAGCTCGTATTCTGCCTCAGCTACACCTGTACGGTGAGGATCATTCCTCCCTCTCTGCCAGGTCTGAACAGCCGTGTTGGTCCGATGCTGATCTAGCGCTGCTCGCTGCTGGCGAGGCGCTACCTGCCTGTAGCTGGTAGTTCTCTGACGCTGACCAGACGCCCCCTGCCGGTTAGCAGGTGCCTCTTCTGGGTACTGCACAGCCTCCACTCCCCACTGACTTGGCTGCCAGCCTTCATTCTGCCTCGGTTCTCGGCTCGCACCTGTCTCCCGCCGCCGGCGACTGCTTCTCTCCTCCTCCCATTTACACATCTGTCGCTCTAGCTGCACCGCACAGTGAAGCATTGCACCCAGCTGTGGACAGTGCACCCCAACCGTCAGCGGTCCACCGCCCTGCAGCGCCGCCACCGCCGGCAGAGAGCGCTCCGTGTAAGAGCGCCGGACCGACTCCCCGGTCAGCGGGTCAGCGCCGGTTAGCTCCGCCCGCCAGGTGACGCAGCCGGCGGCCGACAGATGGCTCTGCAGCTCACTGCGCTGGACGAGCAGCGCCGCTGGCGGCTCGATGGTGGTCTGTCCAGGGCGGTACACGCCGGCCAGCAGCCATGGAGAGGAGCGCAGGACCTGGATGAGGGAACTTTGGGGAGAGGTGAGAGGCCTCTCGGATGGGAGGGGAGGAGCGGCCCAGCGCAGGAGAAGGACAGAGGGTGGGGTGGGGAGGGGCGAATTGCTGCTGTCGCTGGGATGTGTATCAACGCGGCTGGAAGGCTCGTTGCTAACGTTCACAGCGCTGACATCATCAAACTTCATAACGTTGTCGGCTTCTGTCGTTTGAGGAACAGTCCAGTTCTGTTTTGATCCGTCTACTAGCGTACTTGTGAGCAGTTTGAACTTACGAGCGCGTCCCGTCTTCACAAGACGTCCGTCATGCGCCATCCCGGGAGCGAACCAGAAGCCCTCTCTCCAGCGCACCGCCTGGTACCTTCCGAGAGCTTCCTCCAGAAGCTCGGCATCCTCCACCAGGACAGCCACATCCGGCCCAGCGAGTTTCCTCCAACGATCTAGCTGGTTCCAGCCTGTCCCACCTCTTATCACCAGTGGTTCACCAAGCCTCTTCAAGCCTGTCTCCCTCAGCAGAGCGGTCATGACGTCATTGGAGGCACCGTGGCAGTGCGGAGGATGACGCTGAAGCTGGATCACACGTCGCACGCCCTCTGAGTGCAGGTAGAGCAGTGCAGCGCGGTACTGGAGGATCTCCGCCGGGTCGGCGGGACCGGGGCAGCCGAAGAGATGGCGTCCGTGGTCAGAGAAACCACCGGAGCTGGCCGTGCCACCTGGGAACAAATGCCGGGTGTCAGTGAAATGATCGGCGCGTCTGTTAGCAGACGGGTCACGCGCTGGAGTTGACGGGGCGTCCGGCTGGCCACCGGTGCTGGAACGGTAAGTAGTCATTAGGCATGCCGCTCGGGTGTGTTTTTGTTCTCACTGTGAGATGCATAAACACCCGAGAGGTGAGACGAAAACGGTGAAAGAAACAGATAAAGGGGCTATAACTGTCAGCACCGTGAATTTTTGTGCCCGTAAATCGTCACCGCCATAAGGGGCGAATCCGGACCACTCTAGAGTTCTTGGGCATGAGAGGGAAAGAAAGATGTCCCCGTCGCCGTTTCACCCCTAATCGTTGGGGGTAACCCCTTTCGACGCCATTTCAGACCCGGAAGGCTGAAAGGCGAAAGCTGTATTCATAGACTGCACGCCTTGGGCTCCTACTGGATGTCTAGTCACCGAGTGCACATTAATATACAGTTCGGGGCTGCATTTGAGGTGTGGTCGATGCGCAAGGACTATGACCCGGTCACCGGTGGCTCTCCTTACCCCGTCAGGAGTGATTCGTGACGGTAAGCAATAGTGTCGGACAGTGAGTGGTGGTCCTATCTGGACAACTACTTTAACTCCCAGTACGGAACACAGTGATGGATAAACGCCGGAAAGCAATCGCCAGCGACAGTCGCGATTGTATCTTGCACCGTCCTGAGTTGCAGTCTGAGCTCCGAGCGATGTGGGAGACTATGGTTAGCAGCACGGGGAGCGCCGCGTGCCGATACCGCCCGCGCGGCGTGCCATCCGGGAAGCCTACCTGACCGGGATCCTAATCACGACGTTGAAGGGAATCAGGAACTGCACATGATAGTGGAAGGAGGGTGAATTGCGCCTTAACCCTCGCCCGTAAACGGTGTTTTGCCACCTTCGCCCATGCAGGGGGGGGGGGGGGTTGGTGCGACCCCCCCTGGCGTTTGAAAACGGAGCGTCGTAGAGCTTAGCGGAAAAGACCAACGGATTGCTCTCAACGAGATCTCGCGATTGGTGGTATATTTTTTGGTCCTAGGTCAACATTTGACCTACTTATGACCGGTCAAAGGTCAAATTTTCGGAAAAATCTAACTTTTTCAGAGTTCCGCGCCGATTGCGGCAAAACGGTAAGAGATATCGACTTGAAACCTTCACTATCGTGATCCTTGATCAATTCTCTATCGTTTGGTGTGTATTTCGATGTCATAACTCTAGAAATGATGCGTTGGGAGCATCGGAAGTCTGCAAGGTCATTTGTGCATTGGGTCACGTCAGGCGTGTGACGTCACTGACCTGACCCTGACCCAAAATGAACTACAAGAAACAACTGACGATGCCTGAAATGGATAGCAAATTCGAATTCAGGGCATCAAAATACCCCGAAAAGGCATACAAGTGCAAAAAGTCATTACAGGTCAACCGAGGTCACTGACCTGACCTTGACCTTTAGTAACCTTGAAAAGGTCAACGGACATTGTGCCAATGTCAAATCAGCCAGTTATGATTCTAAAACAATCCATCAGTATATCAGGTCAGTCGGCATTTATTCCATTGTGAAGCAATCTCCAATTTAGCGTAAATCTGGCCGGAGGTTGTTCCCTTTATGACGTCATAACTCCGTGACCTGACATGACCTTGAAAAAAAAATTACCAAAAGTTGCGCAAAGGATGCCCCAAAGGGTACTGAAAATTTGAGCAGGCTATCTGAAACGGTTCGGCGTGTAGCTAAGAAAAACCTCAGGCCCCCTACATGGGCGAGGGTTAAGGAAAAACGCTAATTGTAAGAAAACCGCTGGAGATATAAGCATGCACTGGTAACCATTTCAAAGAGGAACTCATTGGCTACGATTTAAGAGCCTCCCGATCAATTAAGAATGTTTCGTTTGCTTCTGACAGCTGCTTTTTCAGAAACATGCAAAAGGGCGCATTTGTCAACAGACAACAACTGCTGTAGATTGCGCCAGGGGGATGGCGCAATTAGAACCCAATTGCGCCCTATACTTTAACATGGCTAAGCGAATGAGACGGAATACATATACCTCGGCAGTCTAATGTCATTGCGGCTTGCTTTAACATTCACAATGTTATTCACGCTGGTTAAATAATAAATATAGGTGTAAATCTCGATGTTTTTTGCCCAGGTAGATAACTTTACATGTGTCCGTGACTCCGTACGCTTGTAAAAGTGCAACGAAAACGTTTACTGTAACCGAATAGATATATGTGAACGTATGCGCCTATACGGTAACATTTTCAATCGTTTCTTTCAAAATTAATAATTTTTATCGTTTCGGCAGCTTTATGACATCAGTTTTTACTTTTTTATCATAGCTGTCACCTCTCACGCGTGCGTCCAAGTTGAAAATGTCGTATTTTGTCAATTACACCACAAGTTCGTAGCCTAAATGGCAGCTGCATTATAAGTTTGACGAGAGAAATAATTTGCGGACTGACGACAGTGGGTTGCTCCCCTGCCTGACATTAAACTCCTTCTTTATTGCAGTCAGTTAATGATGCATTCATACTGTCGTGATACAATATAGCTACACCATTATTCTTTTTGCGCCCCCCTGGCGCAATTGCCATGGGCGCAACTAAAATTGAGGTACTTTTTGATAAAGTGTACAAGTTATCAAAAAGTTGTTGGAGGAAGTTTACTGTTTCAGTGAAATATAGTGAAAAAGGGGTTTTCTTTCTAAATATCACTCTGAAAATCACACAAATATCACAAATTTTTATAGCCAACGGTTCAAAATACTGCAAAAAAGCTAAGAAAACGCCGTAACGTCTTTGATGGCGTAATGAGCCTTGCTGATTGGCTTCACCGGAGAGCTTGGGCCATAAAAGGAACTATCCAGTGGGGAAAATAATGTTTTCGAACACAAAATTCAAAACATGCCATTGTATCCATGAGAAGGTTGGTGGGCGCAATTGGTTAGGAGGGCGCAATAGGCACCCACTTTCCCTTATAGATATCTGTTCACTGTTTCAGTGTTCATTCAATCATTGGTGAGCAATGATGGGCCACCAATTGGAACATTATTCAATCACGTTCTAAGTAGCTCCATAAAATATTGACATTTCATTCCAATGTTACCCCTTTCCTTTTGTGTATAAAAGTGAACTTGAACTTACCAGATCGCACGGAGTGACCACGACCCTGTCGGATCGTGAGGACGAACACCAGAAAAACGACGGGCCAGCAGAGAGGCATCTTGAACGTTACGCCGTTCCTGAAACGAGAGTGAGAAGCATTAGAAACAACGCTGAAAATGTCAAAAACGGAATACTAACAGAGACACTGTAGGAAGTGCATGTGAATATTGTTGCTATCCCTCTCATCTATAGGAAGATTCATAAAATATGTGCTATGCTCAGAATTAAAACGTAGGTAAGTAGGATGAGGGGCACCCACGTTCGGGCAAAGGTATGCAGTTGCATGCATGTCAAGTCAATCAAATTGTATCTCGTCCAGAAGTTTGATTTATTTACTTTTTTATGTATGTCCCGATTCTGGAAGAAAATACACAATACGAGTTACAAATACGAGTTATGGACTAAAGGCACAAGGTGCGTGGTTTCAAGGGCAGGCAGAGGGTAAGCACATGCAGACCTGCATGCACCATATGCGTCTCCAGCCATTACATAACAGCCCTGTCCATAAATCAATTGATATATGCAGAGCGGACCGGCAGGCTATACGCAGGCGGATCGATCGATTGAAGCTCGATGTTCTGCAAAAGAGATAGGTCAGGTTTAGGATCGTGACTTGCGGATAGGACAGGTAAGGTGAATGGTCACAGCCTGCAGGAAGAGGTCAGGTGAAGGGTCACGTTTTTTCGTTCTTTTTCTTTTTGATTTGTGCATTTTTATCGGATTGCATTCAGATTACCTTCTCACTATCAACAGCATACATGCTGCAATGAATGCCCAGCTAGTTGGCTATCTACTGCACCTGCTTGACTATAAGCACTATATCAATCAGTGTAAAATGTGACCCCTGACCACTGATCGTTGCATCTTGTCACGCTTCGGTATCAGGCTCCTAATCCACTACGGCGCCAGTTTTAGTCAGGTGTATGTACAGTGGCAGGCAACGTGCATAGCAGGTCGTCGCCTTTTCTATCGGGTGAAACTGTCTACCCGCCGGTACGTCTCACCGGGTGTAATTTAGGCACAGCACGTGGTCAGGCGGGCACGGTCCAATAATTTACCGACGTGTTTATGCGTCCGTCATCTTCTCGACAGTCTCGCCTGAATATCTGAATAGCTCGCTCCTTCCGGGACAGGCTCATGCGTTGAAGAGGTTCACCCTACCCATACATCAGCGGAGAGACGAACGACTATCCCGGAGCGCAGTATCCATTACTGATAAAGCCGATGCTGATGTGCCTTTCAATTACAATGCGCCGCTGTGCCGGCTGACCATATCTCGGCGTGCCGGACGATCGGTGCCTGTGGCGGTGCACGTGTGCACGTGCGCCGTACAGCGCGTTGGGAGCGGTGCGACGCCTGTCGGGCTGCTAACGGTGGGAATACAGGTCAGTAGAGACCGGCCGCCACGACCGGACATCGGCGAATAGGTATTGAGTGTCAGCCCGGGGCGCCGCGAGCCGTAAGGACATCATTGCTGAGAAATTTTTCCAGACGACCTTCAGAAGACGAAGATTGGGAACAAATCGAGACTGCGATTCAGCTGGCACATTGTCAAACAGTCACCATAATTGGGAGGATGTGATTTGCCCACAGCTGGACAAGTTGCCCGAATCAACAGGAGGCTGCGATATCCGAGAGGTTACTAACACTGAGAGACTGCGATAGCCGACAAATCACTAACACCGGGAGACTACAATTAGCGACATGTCACTGTCATAAGGAGACTACGACTAGCAAAATGTCACTTCCATAAGGAGACTACGATTAGCAAAATGTCACTAGCAATGGGAAACTGCGATAACCCACTACTAACATTGGCCACCAGAGGCGGATCCAGCTCAGACTTTGGGGGGGGGGGGCAAACCATAACAATTTATCGATTCTTTCCATGCCTCGTCCATAGGCGTTATGTTAAAACTATGCCGTTTGGGAGAGGCAAATGCCCATTTCCCCCCCCCCCCCCCTGGATCCGCCACTGTTGGCTACTAAGAGAGACTACAACTAGCAAGATATCACTAGCACCATGGGAGACTGCGATGGCCGTGATGCCACTAACACCGGGAGACTGCGATAGCCGACATGTCACTAGCACCGGTAGACTGCGATAGCCGATGTCACTCACACCGAGAGACTGCGATAGCCGACATGTCACTAACACCAGGAGACTGCGATAGCGGAGACGTCACTAACACCGAGAGGCTGCGATACCCGACATGTCACTAACACCGGAAGACTGTGACAGCCGAGATAGCACTAACACCGGAAGACTAGCTATGTCAGTAACACTGGGAGACTGCGATGGCTAGATGTCACTATCGCTAGGAAACTGCACAGCGATATGTCACATCATTATTATTAAATCTATACAAAATACCACTTTTCAGTTTTCGGATTTACCTTAGATTTCGATATTCTCCCATACCGAATCCACAGCTAGCTCCTTGTGTAACCCAGCACCAAAGGCGGTCTCCTTATCACTGTGCAGAGCGCCCCACAATCTGGAAGGAACGAACGTACACATGCATACATGCATACAGAGACTGCTTTGGCATTGTGCCAGCCCTGCTTTGCGGTACGGGCTCAACCATACGTCTCAAAAGACAGCACCTCATCGAGACGTTTCTGTGAATCAGCAAAGTCGAAACGAAAATCCATGCAAAGTGGAGCGATTCCAGTACTTTATGTGCATGTGTCCACCATTGACAAACTGCGCATTCACAATTGACAAATGGTTCAAGCAATAGTGACAAATGGAGGGCCAGGCTAAGACTCACCGGGGAAGACGGCTGAGCGCTTCGTCTCTACAGCCGCGCACTGGGCCGTCGTGACCCCGAACACGACCACTGCGGTCACGGGAGGTCGCCATGGGCCCCTCCAGCGGTGCACGGGCACCGACATCGGCCCACCGACGCGCTGACCCGACCGGCCGCCGAGCGCTCCACCGGCACCACTGAGGCTCCGCGGCGGCCGACGACCGAGCACGACGACGGGGCCGCCACGCCCGGCGCACCGACCAGTGCAGTGGTCAGCCGCGGTGACAGCAGCGCGTCACGGCGGTGTCAGAGCCAGCAGCGACGGAAGACTCATGGTAGAGTTATAGCCACTGTCTCAGCTACCGTTGCAGTCCCATCATGGCGCCATCACCGGGCCCTATCCGAGCTGTCACAGCCTTTTCATAGCGATCTACGGCCGTCCGCTGTTATCAGCGCTGTGCCGGTCCCTGCCCGTGGACACTCCTGCCGTCCACCCGGACACTTTACGGCACACCCCGATCAACGACGCAGCAGGAGTGCCGTAAACAATCGACATCGCCTCTAGAGATCACCTCCGAGCGCAGCAATGAGAACAAAAACAGGCACCGTCAGCAATCTCTCTCGATGAAATGCCGCAGGAGAGGAAAACGCCCGTACGACCCGAATATGTTGTTGATCATCGGGTTAATGGTATTGCCGAGGTGAAACGTGCCGCCCTGCTGCTCCTGCTATTGGGGTTTCATTGAACTTTTTATATCGGTTTCACCCATGGAAGTAGCAATCGGAAGAGTCAGAAGAACCGTGGTCCGTAAATGTTATTGAGGATGATAAAATAGTTAAATTCCGTTTTAAAGACAATATGAAATAAGAAAATTTTTGACAGGGAGGAAATCATGCAAGAGCAGACAATGAAAAGCATTCGGCTATCGCATAATCACAAGTATCGATGCCTATCTATGGCGTTGAAAACCGAGGGGCGGGGGGGGGGTTAAAAAGTCCACCACAGCGCGGGTTGAAGCAACTCCAAATGAAATTATCGCGACCGCTCTGGAGGAAAGCGTCACACGTCTGGCTATAAACAAATAATGGGCAGTATGGAAATACAAAGTGAAAATCGGCATCCGATTTTCACACGGTCACTCGCCAAATGCAGACATAGCGTGATAATCATTGTACATTCAGTAAATATAACCCTTTGAGTATTATTAGGTTAGCAGTTGCACAGGCAGCCAACGGTCAGCATCGATTCTGCTTTTAGGATATGCTTTGCTGCCTGTAACGAGAGAAGAACGGAAGAGCAGTCAGCAGACATCCCTGGAGAGAGAAACGGCCGCGGTATGTGAACCCGACAACTCGCGACCACAGCTCATTCACACGCCTTGCCCACGGCTGAGGTCGGCGGCTACCTTCGGTAGCCCTGTCGGGCAGTCTCCCGGCATTTACTGCCGTGGCACCGTTCCCAGACATACATCAGTCGGCGGTCGATCACGTGGTGTGGTGCGATAGGCAGTGGACAGGCCACGTGACTGGTGGAGAGTGTCGGAAGTGTCCGGTAGCTAGTGAAGGGTGTCGCAAATGTGCTGAGGGTGGGCGTGGCGGGTATAAGTTGTCAGTTCACGTGAGTGTGACTGATAAAAGCGGGTCGAGAATGTCAGCTGGTTAGGTCAGGTGAATTACGCAGTCCTTACCACGAAGGAAATTGATGTCTTTGGGAGGGGACATGAAAAAAACGTATGCAAGTGTTAACGTACATTGGCGCTTAAAGTTTTTTTTTTTTTTACTTATGCATTATCGACCCACGCATTGGCATTCCACTAATGTTTGACGGTGGCGGTTTTAGTCAACAATTTGTGTACGGTTGCATACTGAGTTTAGTGCTACAGTTTTCTACAGTTTGGTTCAGTGTCGTTTAGTTTTTTTAGTATCGTTTTAGTTCCCATACAGTTTATGAGTTTAGTGTTGATGTTGATAAAGCAAACACCGTAAATGTGTAGGACCTGTAGGTATGGGGTATGCGTGCTCCCGATTCACCCAGCTAATTGTTTGTACTTCTCTATCACCAACCTGTTACTAAGAAGTCGACAGTATCAGTCCGCCGAGAGTGTCTGTCTCGTCGCCGCCTCTGCCGTCCTCCGTGGCCGCTCTCCCGTGTCCACGTGTGCGTGTGGCCGCAGGTCACGCGCTGTGCGCCACCTGCGCCGCTGCTCGCCGCCGCCTGCAGACTGAACCCACCAGCCGCTCGTCGCCCTCTTTACGTGCCATCCTCCGCCCGAAGAGAGTGCGATAAAAAGAGGGATGCCCTAATCCGATTGCGCCCCTATCTCCGCCGTTCGCTTCACCAGAGGTCTATTTGGCGAGTTACCTGCGCCTGGCGACGAAAATACCGCCTGGTTCAAAGTGACAGGCCGAAAGACATGACGGGTATGTGACTGATGACGTGTGAAATAGTTAGGCTGCGCAGTTGTGAGTAAAACGTCTTCAGCTCACAGCGAATAAGGAAGTATGAACAATGGTCGACCGAGAGCTCCTCGTCACGTCCCTGTTCATTAAATTCTTTCAGGCCTACCTACAATTGTTAGACGTCCAGATACAACGATAGATCGGCTGATTCCACTCCGGCGGAAGGGAACAAGGACTGTTTTGACAGGTCCTTATGGGGAGTTCGCACTTCCTCCTTTTTCCTCTGCCAGACCGTGATAATGTGATAGTCGTGATTTAGTGATAACTCACTCGAACATGACTTCGGAGTGGGAGGTTCGGTGGGAGAACAGCAGGAGGGACAGTTAGTGCGCTTTAAACTCCGCAGTCTATCAAAACCGATGTCTCCTAATCTTCCGAATACCTAATGGGATACAGCTGTCCCTACCATCAAACAGAAGGTCGAGCCTTATTTTTATCCTTGAAATTTCCAAATGATTTTTTTTTCGCCTGAGTTTATTGCCAAAACGGCACGACCAAAACTGCATGTGAAGAACCTCATCCATTTTCATGCGAAGTTCATTACGAAATATTGGAAGGGAACGCAGGTCATACTCTGATGAGTCAGCACGCTTCTTATAAACATAGTCATAATGTTTGAACATTATAGTACCTACAAGATAAACTCAAGCAGGAGAATACTGCAACTATCATCGGCGAATCACTGGAAGCACATGATTTACTTGGACTGGGTAGGACAGTGACCTCGTTTGATATTTGACCAGCCAAGAAAGTCAACATTTGAATCCGTCAAATTGAGCACCAATGCATATTGCATAGGTAAAACCACACATCGATCCTGCCAGTTACCATCACGAAGATCTGCCGCTGGTTGAAGGAAAATGATGAATACATTTCCATATTTCCAGCGAACACTCCCCCCCCCCCCCACTAACGAAAAGAGCACACTTCTATCCCACTAGCCTTTCGGATGCAGTAGCTTGTCCTTATTACACATAGGTAGGTACATACTCTGAAGTATGAAGCATCTGGCATCAATACACCTGACTAGATAGGAAAAACCGGCCAATTATATTCCTAGCAACTTCATACGGCGGCCAATTCACTTGTTCCAGCTTCCTCTAAGGATTGTTACGGAACTGTTTTTCGATCAGGTGTCCGGACAAGATAAGTAGGTAGGTGATCTAAGTAAACTGCAATCTACCTAGGTAAGTGTTTCGGTGCAAGAGGCTTCAGGCATACTTGTTGAAAATGCCACTTTCTAATCACTTCCTAAAAAGTGGCTGTAAAAAGGAATATCATAATTGTTCAAAAGTAAATACGGTACCTATGAAAGCATGTAATTGTGTCGAATTTCTTAAGGTTCGCGCGTCCAGTTCATCGTAGGTAGGCAGCAAGAGCAAGGGCCAATTTCACTGTCTAAGTATAAAATTATCATTTTGATAAATTACGCCCTATCGATCTGCTAAATAAAAAAAAAAAACTCTTGCAGGGCCATTGAATCAAACAAACCACCCCGTTTGTGCGACACCACGACTCAGACCGTTCAGGGACGCAGGTCACCGGGCCGCGATAACGGTCTCGCCAGGATGTTACCCCAGTGGTGTTCCTTCACTTCTGTCCCAGATAACAACAGCCGTCCAGACAGCAGCATACCGGCCGACAAAAGGGACGGGAGGATCCTGATCCCGAGGAAAGACGAATGCTCGCAATGAGAGTCACGCGCGCTTCCATCATCGGCTGTGAATCAAGACTTCCATCATCGGGTGTGAATAAACATAATCTGTGCGGGCTGTTGACTTAAAAAAAAAAAACTAGGACGATGCCCTACGCTTAATTCCGTATGCAGTGTTGCTTCGCCTTTCTAATGATGTCAAATGCATCAGCGTTATCTGTTCACCCACTTGCAGCGTCCCCGTGTAAATGGCCACCGATTGGATGATAATATTCGTGGTCATAAAAAGGAGAAACACCACGTTTTTGTGTCTGCTTTTCTCCCGTGTGTAACAAACGACACCTGCCGGCACCACTGAGGGAGAGGGCCCGCGGCGCGGGCAGCGTCAGATGCGACTCGCGCGTGACATGCCGGTAAATTGGCCCTCTCGCGGCGGGCACCGCGGGAGATCCCGGTTCTTGCAGGCCCACCGCCGCTTCTGACTGCCGGGTGCGATTAGAAAAACACTCTGGACGGGACCATACAGATAGAAGTCGGTGACCAGGCGCACATCGGGAACGGGAGCCAGCTGTGGGGGGGGGGGTGAGGGTATTGGTGGAATAAATGCGCCGCCTCAGCAATTATTCATTTTAAACGCGCGGTAAATTGTTTATTGATTCTAATTAATTCTTATCAAATTTAAATCTTCCCAAATAATCAGTCTAATTAATTTTATCAAGCAACTAGTGCATCCAATTATTCTGGCTGCAGGCATATTTCCAGCGCACAAAAATCCATAAGATCTTATCTGAAGCAAACAATCGCTCCCGCACTGTCTGAAAAGTTGATTAGAAACGTAACATGTTAGGAAAACACAAAAACTACTTCGTAAATGCTCAAATTGCTGCTAAATTCGAATTCAGCTCCAAAAAGTAGTAGTCCTATATAGAAACATGTAAAACTCGGAAAAGTGAACCAAGGTCATCAAAGGTCAATGACCTGAATTGTTGACATCCACCCTAATGCATGGGACCAACATCATTTCACGTGTTTGAACATTTAACCCGCGCCCCGCTGGGGGTCCTAGACTTCCGCGCCACGCTGGGGGGTGTTTAAACAGCCCCCCCCCCCCTCTAACTCGGTTCTTGGGTCACGTAGCGATACACGTCACCAGAGGTCACTGAAGGCAAAAATTCGACGATTTCCCGGTCAAATTTTGACATTTTTCAACAAATCGACGCACAGCTTGGAAGCAAATAGAGCTGCAGTGCCGCAAAAAAAGCGCATTTGATAGTCATTTTAACGCTCTTTCTAAGTACTTCTCTCAGATTAGACCTACCGTCAACGGTTTTGCCTGCAGGGGCAAAAACTGCCAAAAAAGACGATTTTTAAACAGTTTTTTTTTTCGCATTAACTTTTGACTCAAAGCTTGCACGAACTTTCTTTTGCCGGCATCGTGTTCCTCTCGTCAAGACGCATCGAATGAACCATAACTTAACCTTGAAAGGTCATGACGTGACCGGAAAGGGTCATGTTGCATACCAGTCGATGCGTATCGTCGGGTTGAACACAACTACGGTGTTTTCATTGCTATAGCATGCCTCCAACAAAAGTTATTCGCGAAAAACTGTCAGATACCATTCGTGACCTGAGATGACCTCAGAGGACAAAAAGGGGTCATGGTCTCGGATCCGTCTGAATGATAGATCCAGTCAAGGCCATATAGATCCAGCTCTTAAATTTATCGAGATTGCAACTCACAAGCGTTCTGTGCTATAGTGATTTTATGTGATTGCATGTCATAATCCATAGTTTTGCGGCACTTATTGACATACAAACGCTTGTAAACCTGGTTTCAAATGCTGTGCATGGTGGGATCCACTCGGATCATAGATCCATGTTCTTGGTATATCGTCAGATCCTGTCAGATCATAGATCCAGGATATAAAATTTCCCACCGGATCTGTTGGGATCATAGGTCCTAATCAGCAGTTTGCTTCGAGATCCACTGAGATCATAGATGCATCACTCGGATCCATGCACATATCAAGTGCTTCGTACCTATAGCATAGGTATATGTATTAGGTATTCAACATCCGTCTTGGCTATCATCTAAAGTATTTAAAAGTCAAAGTAGGTAGGGTGTAAGGTACCCCAAGTGAAAGTTCCAAACGACATATTATCGTCTGTCGACATTGCTAGCTTTCTACAAATCCGTTCATTGACTACTTACAACTACGATCCGATCTGCTGCGATGAAAGAAAGGGATAGAGAGGGGGAAGGCAGAGAGAGAGAGAGAGAGAGAGAGAGAGAGAGAAGAGAGAGAGAGAGAGAGAGAGAGAGAGAGAGAGAGAGAGGAAGGCAGAGAGAGAGAGAGAGAGAGAGAGAGAGAGAGAGGAAAAAGAGAGAGAGAGAGAGAGAGAGAGGGAGAGAGTGTGTGTGTGTGTGTGTGAGAGAGAGAGAGAGAGAGAGAGAGAGAGAGAGAGAGAGAGAGAGAGAGAGAGAGAGGGAGAGAGAGAGAAATAGAGAGAGAGAGAGAGAGAGAGAGAGAGAGAGAGAGAGAGATAGAGAGAGAGAGAGAGAGAGAGAGAGAGAGAGAGAGAGAGAGAGAGAGAGAGAGAGAGAGAGAGAGAGAGAGAGAGAGAGAGAGAGAGAGAGAGAGAGAGAGAGAGAGAGCATGCAGCGGCTCTTAAGAACTGCTCTGTACCTCGGTCAGTAACTAATGAACGGGTGGTAGCCACTGATGGCTTCTTGACCATCGGTTTTCGGCAGGAGGGAGAGATAATTAGTTTTCCAGCGCAGTGACTCGTCGGTGCGTTCTTATGCACCGTCGTCGAGGGATAACAACTCAAAAAAGGGCGTGAGGAATCGATGCCAATCGGCTTATTGAAGGCCCCGTTTGATTTTCTTCCGCGTCGTATTGTCCCGAGCCGATTTCACTCCTCTCCTAGTGCACGGCCGTAGAGTAGTGTGTGTGAGAAGGTGTCAGAGTGTGAAGTGAGGTGAATGTGAGACGAGATATGTGGCGACCCCGTATCTCTGACGGCGTGTCGGCATCCATCGCGTCTCTGGCGCCATGGTCTCCACGTTTCCTCGGTCTAGTCGTGTGCATCCTCCAGTATCCAATGCGTCTCCGTTATATCGTCTTTTCTATCATGGACAGCCATGAGCGAGTTAGACGAGGGGAGTAGCTCCCGTGGCGGATGTGGGTCTCAATGTGGAGCAGTGCAGTATGCTGCCGCTCGCTGTGAGCTTGTGTAGTGTGCTGTCGTATCGTTTCCAATGGTAAGACCGGGTGTCGCAAGTAAGGTAGCCTGGCGTGTTTTCTGTTTTCGTGTTTTCAAAGAGATTCTGCTATGAGCGGCCCAGCGATTACATGAAAATGGGATAATTATGTATTTTACAGCGTCTTAGAATGGTTCATTGCATAGCGATCGAGAGCGACGTAATCATCTGGTAGATTGAGGACGCGTGCGAGTGTAAATCGCTTGTCCCCAATCTGCAGTTCAGTATCCGCTGAATTATAAGATCAGATAGGATCAGATCTTAGGGGCAGAATGGTGAAATTTAATAGTGTTTCGTATGGGAAGAATTCAAACGATCGTAACAAAACGCTTGCGTCGTACTTTTGGACAACTGAAGTATCAAACGGGCCCATGAACAGACTGAATAGGCTTTCTGAAAGCATTTCATCATGTCTCCTACATCTCGCCATTGAACCAAAGAGCCACACCCATAGTAAAAGGTTCGTGTCACGCTGGGTAGGAATTCAGGGCGATTTCCCTTTGGTTTCAAGTCGCCCAGGAAGTCATGCTATTGCAAGTCATCAGCGGTGCGTGCTCATTCCATTATCTCGCTTGCTGTGCCCTGTTGTTAGCTACCGCTGCTTCTCAGAGCCAAGCTCAGAGCACTCAAGAAGTATCGACTCCTCTTTTATCTCGCTCCAGTCAGATGCTTTCGGCGTGAAGTAGTGAATCGAAAGCAGCCAGGTAGAAGTTCAAGAATCCACAGCCCCCCCTTGATATGCGAAACTCGAACGATTGAAATTTGTGTAGCGTTCGTTTTTCATTAAAACGCGCATGATTACCATTATGGGGCCAGGATTCGATCTTCTCATCGACTTTCTCGTTCCATACTGTTCAGTTTTAGCACTTTTTCACGAAATACACGGAGTTCAGGTAACAGGTGTTTCTATGAGAAACATATATTGTCAGGCTTTCGACCGTACCATGGGAGCGGAAAAGTCCTTATCGACTGTGAATCTTGGGGCGGTTGCAGAACCACTTCGATATTCTTCCAGCGTAAAACAATCAAAAACTGGGACTTAATGTTTCATCATCACCCAATTCAAAATTGTAACGAAGAGGACAATCGTGACCACCTTCAAGCACCGATTTCTCCTTTCTTACTCCTACAATAAGCACCAGACAGAAACGACACGGGGACTTCAAAACTCGCTGACTCACTAACCCATATCAACACGCATTCAGTGTCAGCCAATCGCTCCCACAATCACTCCCCACCACTCTCCCCACCCCCACCCTCTCCCCCTCACACCACCGCGCTCTTTTCTCTCTCCGCCTTCCCGCGCCGTATCGCCTCTGAGAACAGTTTGCAGTACAGCCGTACGGCAGTGGTGCTGTCATCATTGCCCGGCACGGGGTACGTCACCAGTCGCGGGTCACAGTTGCTGTCCACCACTCCGACGGTTGGGATGAGCATCTTGGCGGCATGTTTGACGGCTCCGTGCTGTTCCAGCACCGTGTCCAGTGTGTTGAGCAGCACCAGCAGGTCGGGCAGCCGGGTGACGCCGCCGAACAGCGCCGTGGAGTCGGTGAACACTCCCGGCGGCCAGTGCCGGCAGTGAGAGAACTCGCCGCACTCCATCGCAGTCCGCTCCACCTGGGGGGGGGGGGGGCAAGGGGCGGAGAGCCGGTCACGGGAGGTGGCGAAAGACCAAGCGCATTCACACACACTATCATCAAATGCCGGGTCTTGCAACCAGAAAATGCTGTAGAGAGAGGAAGAAAAATACAATCTGCGGTACAAGAGCGCATTAGGGACAGGAGTCTCACTGAATAATCAGAAACACGCACTGGTTTCACGCAACCATCACGTTCGAAAACTAAATTAAAACAAACACAGAAACCACGACTTTCAAAGCGCAGGGACACAACAAGGGAAGATATTATTTATAAGATAATTTCTTTGGCTCTCTATCATACAAGCTCTCAGATAAGCTCCCCAACTCCTTTGCGAGGCACCGTCGGCTCACCATGTGGACGTGCTGCGGCGAGCGGCACACGAACATGATGATGCCGCCGCGGTAGGCGATGTGGGTGGTGAAGTTGAGCGCGTCCCGCAACAGCTGTGCCGTCCTCTCCAGGTCAAACACGCAGTGACCGAGCCGCGAGCCCAGCAGGAACTCGGCCATGTACGGGTTCAGCGAGCCCTCGCGGTGACCCAGGTGCACGCGCGCGTCGAACAGGTCCGACATGGTGAACAGCTGGCGCACGCCGAAATAGTCCGGGTGGCGCAGCGGGTCCGTCACCGAGGGGTCGATATCGGCCTCTTTGGAGGGCGGGGGGGGGGGGGGGGAGGGTTTAGAAGCTGAGATCGCAACAATATGGAAACAATATGGGAATGACATTTCTCGTCGAGGATCAGCATCGGTTACAAGCTAAAGTAAATTTCGACTTGCATGCTGAACGTTAAAACTAATTTGCAGGACACAGCAATGTAAATTTGAAATAAGCCGATCCTTTGCCATTCATGCTTGAGATCGGTACAAACTAATTGTGACATATTTTCAATATTATCATAACAAAGAGTTTTAGGTTCGGCCGCTCTAAAAACCTCGTATGTTCACACAGCTAATGCAGTTGGGTATTTGTAACATGCCACATATATTCACACACACACACAGCGGTGGCAGAGTAAAAACCTTACTCACGGTCCAAGGCCATCTACCCGTGTCACCGACCTGTGTCGACGTATTTCTCAGGTCGCGGCTTCAAGGTGGCCCAGGTGCCCAGCGGTCCTGCCGGGGTCGGCAGGTGCAGGTCGTGGTCCTTCGTTCGGGCGGATGAGGTCACCAGAGCACGGCGCGATGTCACCCGCAGGCAGGCCGGCAGCAGCCGCACCGCTGACCGGTACAGGGACATGGCGTGTTGATTGTCTGCAATTGATCCGGGATCGCAAAAAGGAAGTAGTGATGAGACTTGTTAGTGCATTACGCATAGCTAGATAGCTAAGCTAAAAGCTGCATTTTATAGACACTTATAAAATAAATCATGAGATGAACTGAGCTATGCTGGACATCGGGAGCTCGCCGGATCTGGTCCCACAGGCCTCACAGCCTAAAAAAATCCTGTTACCCTAAGGTGAGGTAAGGTAAGGTAAGGAATATTTTGCATGTATTTTTCTATATACATTCATTTCCTGCAAATTTCATAATTTCCCTCCCACAATAACAGTCACTTACACCTCTGAACTAAATAGCAAAGACCTCCTTGTGGCCTACACTGTTAAAAAATGTTTACTAATTTCCTAGTTATCTGGCCACTTATCACTAACAAAATGCGACTTGAAGTCTACTCGCATTTTGTTAGTGAAAAGTGAAGTGCTGTTACACTTGAAGTCTACTGACATTTTGTTGGTGAAAAAGAAGTCTACTCCCATTTTTCAGTGAAAAGTGGCCAGTTAACTAGGAAATTACTTATTAGTTAACATGTTTTACAGTGTCAGTGTAGTTTCATCCTGTGTTTGTGTGGCCTAGTCATAGTGGAGAACTTGTAATGAAACATGGCAGTGAGATTAATCCAGAGCAGAGCAAGCATTTTTTTAACAGTTATACCAAGCTGCAAAGCATGCCAATTTCTTTAATAAATTTAGCTTGACCGAATTGGAATGGAGCGTGTCAGCCTGCTTGTAAAACATAGCGATTAAGCATATGCTAGGAATAGGAATAACCTCAACTTTTCTGATGATTTAATTGTGATCTTCCTTCGAGATGTAATAATAGCAGTGCATAAAGCACCGATTGTATTATAAACAACCCGAAAACACTGCTGTCAATTTAGCAGCACTTTGATTATCCAACTACAGTTTGATATTCAGGGTGCGTCGATTTCGCCCAAACTTGGCCCAGGGACCAAGTCTCACACGCTGAGCACGAATCTAGTGTCAGAAATCCGCTATTCTCAACCGATCACCCAAATTTACCGTTTTTGAGTTCGTCCATCTACAGATTGACAAACTCCAGGGGCCATCGATTTGGCCCAAAAATGGGTCTAGGGGACCAAGTCTGACACGCTGAGCACGAATCTGGTGTCAGAAATCCACTATCCTCAACCGATCACCCAAATTTTCCGTTTTTGAGTTCGTCCATCTACAGATTGACAAACTCCAGGGGCCATCGATTTGGCCCAAAAATGGGTCTAGGGGACCAAGTCTGACACGCTGAGCTCGAATCTGGTGTCAGAAATCCGCTATTCTCGACCGATCACCCAAATTTACCGTTTTTGAGTTCGTCCATCTACAGATTGACAAACTCCAGGGGCCATCGATTTGGCCCAAAAATGGGTCTAGGGGACCAAGTGTGACACGCTGAGCACGGATCTGGTGTCAGAAATCCGCTATTCTCAACCGATCACCCAAATTTACCGTTTTTGAGTTCGTCCATCTACAGATTGACAAACTCCAGGGGCCATCGATTTCGCCCAAAAATGGGTCTAGGGGACCAAGTGTGACACGCTGAGCACGAATCTGGTGTCAGAAATCCGCTGTTCTCAACCGATCACCCAAATTTACCGTTTTTGAGTTCGTCCATCTACAGATTGACAAACTCCAGGGGCCATCGATTTGGCCCAAAAATGGGTCAAGGGGACCAAGTCTGACACGCTGAGCACGAATCTGGTGTCAGAAATCCGCTATTCTCAACTGATCACCCAAATTTACCGTTTTTGAGTTCGTCTATCTACAGATTGACAAACTCCAGGGGCCATCGATTTCGCCCAAAAATGGGTCTAGGGGACCAAGTCTGACACGCTGAGCACGAATCCGGTGTCAGAAATCCGCTATCCTCAACCGATCACCCAAATTTACCGTTTTTGAGTTCGTCCATCTACAGATTGACAAACTCCAGGGGCCATCGATTTGGCCCAAAAATGGGCCCAGTAAACATGCCGACGTCGGCCCGACGTCGGGCCGAGGCTCGGCCCGACGTCGGCCCAACGTCGGTTCAACCTCGGCCCGACATCGGCTGGACGTCGGATATGCCCGCATGTTCCGACGTCCAGCCGAAGTCCAGCCGACGTCGAGCCGACGTCGGGCCGAGGTCGTTTGCCGAGGTTGACGAGATCGTTTGCCGTTGGACCGACGGGGCCGACGTCGGCAAGTTTATTGGGACAACGCGCCAAAAATATCAACCGACGGCGGGATTCGAGCCCCCCAGTCGCCGACGTCGGCATGTTTACTGGGACAACACGCCAAAAGCATCGGCCGGCGATGGGATTCGAAACCCGTGTCATTTGAAAGCGAGGTTAGTGCGCTAACCACTACACTACACAGCCAGATAGCAAATTTAGTTTGTTTTGTTGGGTTATGCCCTTTCGGTCAGACAAGACCATTTCAGAGCCGGAAGGATGATAGGATGGATAGGTACATTGGTCTTCTTAGCGAGCACCCTGGGTCCAGTTCATATAGAGTCCCTGGTCCCATTGCTGTTACGTGACACTTATTGGAAAGGGCGACCCCACAATGGATTCATATAGCCACTCTTACACACCTGCACCAACGTTTCCCAAAGTGTCCCTTTGGCACTTTGGCAAAGTGACACTTGCCGACTGGCCTTTCTATATGAACTGGGCCCGGCCCTGGTGAGTTGCCGGGGCTGAGCCTGACCAAAGGATAGGCCGAGCAGCCTCCAAGCACTCACCGCACCCGGCTACGGGCGAGCTCGGCTTACGGGCAATCCCAAATGGGATAAAGTTTCCCGTCCAGTCCGGATCAGGGGGTTGCGGCGTGGAGGAAGATTTGAGTTTCCTGAGGATATTTTGAATACAGAAGTTCTTTATGAAACATGAAACATGCATTCTATATTATTTCAACGGTCAAAACAGCGGCCGATGTCGGTCCGACGTCGCCCCGACGTCGGCCCGACGTCGGCTGGACCTCAACAATTGATCTCGGTCCGACGTCGGCCCGACGTCGGCTGGACCTCGGCTGGACGTCGGTACATGCGGGCATATCCGACATCCAGCCGACGTCGTGCCGAGGTTGGACCGACGTCGGGCCGACGTCGGCATGCCGATGCCGAGTTGCCGACGTCACCCCGACGTCGGCATGTTTACTGGGGGTCTAGGGGATCAACTCTGACACGCTGAGCACGAATCTGATGTCAGAAATCCGCTATTCTCAACTGATCACCCAAATTTACCGTTTTTGAGTTCATCCATCTACAGATTGACAAACTCCAGGGGCCATCGATTTTGCCCATAAACGAGTCTAGGGGACCAAGTCTGACACGCTGAGCACGAATCTGGTGTCAGAAATCCGCTATTCTCAACCGATCACCCAAATTTACCGTTTTTTGAGTTCGTCCATCTATACTAGAGACGTCAATCGGATACCAACTTTTTGGTATACCGATACCAAACCGATACCAACTTGGTATTTGGTATTTCAATCGTAATGTGTTTGGTATTTTGTTGGTATCATAAGCCCTCACTAATGTATAAGAGGCTAAGAAATCGGTAAAAAGTTGGTATTTCCCTCAGTTTCCCAAGTTGGTTTGGTTTCGGTATTTTCCCGTGGTTTTGGTTGGTATTTGGTTTGGTATCGGTATTCCGATTTTCCGTAATTGACATCACTAATCTATACAGATTGACAGACTCCAGCCCAGCCAGCAATTTTACTCCGGGCCCAAGCAGGCTAAAGTGCGGCTTGCCCGAGATTTTAGTCGGGCTGAAGTCGGCTAGGGCTTGGGCTAAAGTCGGCGTATGACACAAAAACGCCGACTAAAGCCCATGCTCCGCCGGAGGTATGCCCGCTCTGCGAGCTCCGGACAGCCGTAGCTTAGCCCTAGTTGTGCGACGATTGGCGGTAGCCCGATGTAAGCCCGAGCAAAACGTGACTGGCGCAGAAATGCGCATGCATGAACAGCCGATCAAGTATGGCTCAACTCCGGCTTTACTCCAGTTAGCCAAAGGAGACAACCAGCTTGATCAGCCCGCGCTCCGCCCAAGTTGAGCCTGCTTTGATTGCGCGGGCGGATGTCGGGTTGAGCTGCAGCTGGCCACACTCTGGCATAGCTGCGGCATGCCCAAGCTCAGCCCAAGTAAAAAATACATTGGTTTTGATCGAAGTGGGCAAACCCAGGCTAAGCCCAAGCTGCCCGACGTTTGCCATTGTTTAGCCCAAGCGAATTTCTGGCTGGAAGGGCACTCAAAAACGGTAAATTTGGGTGATCAGTTGAGAAAAGCGGATTTCTGACACCAGATTCGTGCTCAGCGTGTCAGATTTGATCCCCTAGACCCATTTTTGGGCCAAATCGATGGCCCCTGGAGTTTGTCAATCTGTAGATGGACGAACTCAAAAACGGTAAATTTGGATGATCAATTGAGAATAGCGGATTTCTGACACCAGATTCGTGCTCAGCGTGTCAGACTTGGTCCCCTAGACCCATTTTTGGGCCAAATCGATGGCCCCTGGAGTTTGTCAATCTGTAGATGGACGAACTCAAAAACGGTAAATTCTTGGGTGATCGGTTAAGAATAGCGGATTTCTGACACCAGATTCGTGCTCAGCGTGTCAGACTTGGTCCCCTAGACCCATTTTTGGGGCAAATCGATGGCCCCTGGAGTTTGTCAATCTGTAGATGGACGAACTCAAAAACGGTAAATTTGGGTGATCGGTTAAGAATAGCGGGTTTCTGACACCAGATTCGTGCTCAGCGTGTCACACTTGGTCCCCTAGACCCATTTTTGGGCGAAATCGATGGCCCCTGGAGTTTGTCAATCTGTAGATGGACGAACTCAAAAACGGTAAATTTGGGTGATCGGTTGAGAATAGCGGATTTCTGACACCAGATTCGTGCTCAGCGTGTCAGACTTGGTCCCCTAGACTCGTTTTTGGGCAAAATCGATGGCCCTTGGAGTTTGTCAATCTGTAGATGGACGAACTCAAAAACGGTAAATTTGGGTGATCGGTTAAGAATAGCGGATTTCTGACACCAGATTCGTGCTCAGCGTGTCAGACTTGGTCCCCTAGACCTATTTTTGGGCGAAATCGATGGCCCCTGGAGTTTGTCAATCTGTAGATGGACGAACTCAAAAAACGGTAAATTTGGGTGATCGGTTGAGAATAGCGGATTTCTGACACCAGATTCGTGCTCAGCGTGTCAGACTTGGTCCCCTAGACTCGTTTTTGGGCAAAATCGATGGACCCTGGAGTTTGTCAATCTGTAGATGGACGAACTCAAAAACGGTAAATTTGGGTGATCGGTTGAGAATAGCGGATTCTGACACCAGATTCGTGCTCAGCGTGTCAGACTTGGTCCCCTAGACCTATTTTTGGGCGAAATCGATGGCCCTGGAGTTTGTCAATCTGTAGATGGACGAACTCAAAAATGGTAAATTTGGGTGATCGGTTGAGAATAGCGGATTTCTGACACCAGATTCGTGCTCAGCGTGTCAGACTTGGTCCCCTAGACTCGTTTTTGGGCCAAATCGATGGCCCCTTGAGTTTGTCAATCTGTAGATGGACGAACTCAAAAACGGTAAATTTGGGTGATCGGTTGAGAATAGCGGATTTCTGACACCAGATTCGTGCTCAGCGTGTCACACTTGGTCCCCTTGACCCATTTTTGGGCGAAATCGATGGCCCCTGGAGTTTGTCAATCTGTAGATGGACGAACTCAAAAACGGTAAATTTAGGTGATCGGTTGAGGATAGTGGATTTCTGACACCAGACTCGTGCTCAGCGTGTCACACTTGGTCCCCTAGACCCATTTTTGGGCGAAATCGATGGCCCCTGGAGTTTGTCAATCTGTAGATGGACGAACTCAAAAACGGTAAATTTGGGTCATCGGTCGAGAATGGCGGATTTCTGACACCAGATTCGTGCTCAGCGTGTCACACTTGGTCCCCTAGACCCATTTTTGGGCCAAATCGATGGCCCGTGGAGTTTGTCAATCTGTAGATGGACGAACTCAAAAACGGTAAATTTGGGTGATCGGTCGAGAATAGCGGATTTCTGACACCAGATTCGTGCTCAGCGTGTCAGACTTGGTCCCCTAGACCCATTTTTGGGCCAAATCGATGGCCCCTGGAGTTTGTCAATCTGTAGATGGACGAACTCAAAAACGGTAAATTTGGGTGATCGGTTGAGAATAGCGGATTTCTAACACCAGATTCGTGCTCAGCGTGTCAGACTTGGTCCCTGGGGCAAGTTTGGGCGAAATCGGCGCACCCTGAATATCAAACTGTAGTTGGATAATCAAACTGCTGCTAAATTGACAGCAGTCCCGAAAACCCAGACTCGGATGCAAAACACATAAACCACTCGTCGCATTGTCGTCTTCCGTCGCTATTCTATAGCAGACTTTACAAATCATTTAATAAAAGCAGCTGCAAATTGTCTAGCAACAAAAGATTATTTAGCCAGTTGCCTAGCAACGCTGAGGTATTTCTGGTCCAGTGTTTCGAGATGAACAGTTTCCCGCTGGCCGAAGCGCGAGTTTTTGTCTCAGCCACGCCATAAATGATCGAGCTAAGGCTACCAAATAAAAAGTGAGCCAGTGAGGTAAACATCGTAAACATAGTCATACCGAACGAATTGAAATAGTAATTTGACACAATATCAATATAATTACGACATATAGGGCCTTGTGATCACCTACAAATTACAAAAGCAGTACTCCTGAACTTCACAACAATTGAGTCTTGACGTTATTTTAGCGCTTGTTTGGCTCAGAAAAAAGCTGAAAGACATTGGGACACTGCACGCAAGGCTTGTCAAAACTCAAAAGAGTCCAACGATATGTCTTACGGTGTTTTATTATGGACGAAATACGAAAATAAAAATAAAAGATTTACGACCTAATAAAAGCAAGTCCTGGCCCGTATGTGCTCGTGCTGCGCTCACTCGCTCTTCACGTCTGGACTCTGGTTTCATACAAGTTATACCATGGATGTTATTCTTATTATTAGTGATCATATTCCAATGCAATGAAATAGCAGGTAACTACTATGAACGTCAAACCGCTTGAGACCCCACTTTTTTGCGATTATTTTAAAATGCGTCAACTCTCGTTAACAATATTCTGGCAATGTGTGTTTCAGAACCTGCCGAAACTTTTATTACTAAGGTATTTTGACGCCAAACGATTATGAAAGGTACTTCTCATTCACTCGTAATGTTAAATTTTACGGAACGAATCTGCTGTTGGGGTAGAGGCTACGCGCTCATGGGGCGGAGCCACGTAGTGACGTCAGCGCTGAGCTCCGCCCTACCCCTCCGGCGCTCCTTGCCCGGCGACCGGTCACTCGCGTCCCTCGCTCCATTCAGGCTTGATGGTGGTCGGTAGCTGGTAGCGGCAGCGGGCGCTGGTAGATGGCATTTGGAGCAGATGGCGCTGGTGGCGGGGCTCGAGTGTGGCCGAGCGCAAGCCTCTGCCCCGGCCTGAATTGACCTTAGCATTACGAGTGAATGAGAAGTACCTTCCATAATCGTTTGGCGTCAAAATACCTTAGTAATAAAAGTTTCGGCAGGTTCTGAAACATACATTGCCAGAATATTGTCAACGAAAGTTGACGCATTTAAAAATTATCGCAAAAAAGTGGGGTCTCAAGCGGTTTGACGTTCATAGTAGGTATATAGCTACCTAGCATATACCTAGCCCGCGCACCGACGGGGGGGGGCGGATATCCGCCCCCCCCCTGAGGTTTTTCGCGGATAGCGGGAAAACCGCGGCGCGTATCGCCGCGAAATTTTGTACGACTATTTTCACATCAATTTTACACATGGTGTGCAAGTTTGAACCTCCTAACTTTAAAGGTCAGGTCACCGGGTCACTTTGAATGACCCAACCTCAAGTCACTTTTTTGCAACTTTGTCACCGTGCCAGAGCTACAGTAGATGTCGGAGGCCTTTGAAAGTCGCAGGATGTTATTAGGTCATTAGTAGCTACAATTTGTATATCTCGGAATTTTGATATCGGTGACCTAAGGTCAGGTCAATTTCGCGACCTCCTCATTTTAAGTCAAAGGGGGAAAAATCAACTCCCTGTTTTTACCACTAAAACGGGTCGGAATGGCCCCATATACCATACATGACTTCATATACGATCAACCTTCACTACCTTGAGGTCTGTTTTGCTGTTGGGCAGCTGTAAGGTCATGTGACGTCATCAAAGGTCACCAAAGGTTTTTTGCCAATAACTCCGTACAGGAACAAGATACAGCCGCGCAGATGGTCTCATTGTGTTCAGCTCGTCAAGACGCATCGAATGATATACATGATGACCTCGAGGTCACGTGACCTGAGGTCAACCTTTGACCTTGACCTTTCGAGGTCAACATATATATCATTCGATGCGTATTGACGAGAGGATCACGATGATGCCCTTATTTTGTTCCTATCTTGACTAATTCGAAAGTTATTCGAGAAAAACTCTCCATATCTAGCGCCGCCATTTTGACTTTTTCGACCCCTGTGACGTCATCTTTGACCTGACCTGAAAATGACCTTTGTAAAAATTGTAGACCTTGTCTGTGCGTATCCGATGCCGTTTACCGCTTGTCGCTATCTTGCTTCGTTCTCGAGATCTCAGGGGGGGGGCGGTCATCCGCCCCCCCCCCGTCGGTGCGAAGTTGGCGCAGACCCCCGTCGTCGGTGCGCGGGCTAGTGACCCATACTGTGGTTCATAAACGTACCGTGTACATAGCCAGTAGCCACCCTAGAAGGCGTGTTTCTTTTTTCCAACCAAAGGAAGGCGCTATACCCGAAGATGCTTCTTGGTAAACAAACCAAACAAAAACAAACATAACCTAACCTCACCTGACCTAACCTACAACCTACAAACCTACAACCTACAACCTAACCTACAACCTAACCTACAGACCTACAACCTACAAACCTACAACCTAACCTACAACGCGCCAAAAAGTTTGGCCGGCGGCGGGGATCGAACCTAAGTTATCAGATCACGAGGCGAGTGTGCGCACCACTACACCATGCAGCCAGCTGACCGGTGAGAGGTGTAAGTCACTTTTCAATGACGCAATGGGATATTCTCCGTATAGCGCCTTCCTTTGGGTGGAAAAAAGAATTACGCCCCTAGAAGTGTTAGCTTAAAGGGAAAGGAAGGCATAGGTACATAGGTACCTTTCCGGGATAGCTCGACACGTCCATGGGTAGGTACCGAGTTACCGACCTCTGGATCTATGCGTATGCCTTTTGCCTAAATTTTATCACCCGGCTCGACATAGCCGGCAATATGCATCAAGCGGCGATCGGAATCGGTGACGGGTTTTCCGCAGCTGCAGATTGCACGTTACGCCCCGGCGCGGCGGCGGACGGCGGGGCTGCCCGCTGCCGGGAATCCGGTCGGGGTCGTTCCATCGTCGGTGTCCCCTATCCAGTGCGGGCGGACGGAGGGCCCGCCGCTTCCGGTGGGTGCAGATAACGTCGCTCGCGAGTCCCGCGGACTCCGGGGCGGGCTGCGGGCTGCCGCTCAGCCGGGCGTGTCTCGTCTGACGGTCTGGGGTGGTGTACACTGCCGCGACACAGACGAAGCAAAGGCTGGTGTCGGAACGAGTGGGACGAGAGCGGGCGACGTTGGCGTGCTCCGGTATGCGACGGTGTGGTGTATAAGAAGCTGTGCGCCGTGTGTTAGTGGGACTGCTCGGTGGAGCAAACGACTGAAAAACGGCTCAGGGCTGATTTGAAGTGCCGCTACGCCGAACTCCACAAATACCCAGCGCCAGGTTTCTCTGCAAGACCAGCTCGTGTACATACTTTCCTTGCATGAAAATCAGGGATTTAGACCTTCAACTTCGCAGGGCCCCGAGCTCTACCGCATCATCAGTGTATCAGACAGCCATCGGCATGGCTGAGGGTGACGACCAAATGGGCAGTCGGCGGGACATCAAGCTGGTCGTCGTCGGTGACGGCACGGTCGGTAAGACGTGCCTCTGTTACACGTACAAACAGGGCAGCTTCCCTGACGACGACGCCCACCGGCCGACCATCTTCGACAACTCGTACATCGACCTCTCGTTGGACGGCCACCACCTGAACCTCAACGTCTGGGACACCGCTGGCCAGGAGGAGTTCGAGCGACTCCGGCCGCTCATGTACCCCAAAACGGACGTCTTCCTGCTCTGCTACGCTATCGACAACGTCACTTCCTTCAACAACATCATGATCAAGTGGGCACCGGAACTGCGCAAACATTGTCCGAACGCTCGGATCATGTTAGTGGCTACCAAGGCCGACTGCCGCGGCAGCGATCCTCAGACGAACGTGGAGCGCGCTCGAGGGCGCAAGCTCGCTGTTGGGAAGCTGAAGGCGGATGGGTTTATCGAGTGTTCGGCGCGCACCGGCGAGGGTGTGGCGGAGGCGTTCGAGACCGCTGTGAGGACGGTTCTGTACGGGCCACAGCTGGGCTCGGAGGGGTGCGTCTGTACGCTGGTTTGAGGTGCTAGGGGTCTGGGTGCACTCTCCGCGCGGTGATGTCGTTTGTGATTTGTCATGTGTGCGACGCCGTGATTTAGTGTGAGTGTTCGGTGCGTGTTGATCATGGAATGTCATTCATGTGGAGAGGGCGACTCTATTGTGTGCTCTGTGTTCGTGAAAGATAATTACTTATGCATTGGAGCATAGGCCGATGCTTCAAGCAATGCATCGAATTTCCTGCATTGTCATGCGAATGAAAGTCTTCTGCTGTAGGTAATGTACCTACCTAATAAGGACATGTAAAAAATAAGAGAGTAATATTCAAAATATACCACACGAGGTTGGTTTTCTTTTCATTTGAAACACAACACGAGGCCTAAATTGGCAACTCTCATCGGGGTAACCGTTTCCGTTAGTACAGCTAGATGGCCTGTCCCTGCCTATACTTAGGTATACGAACATGCCGGTCGGAGCTTGTCTATTCGTTGTGGGTTCGTGCTCAGCTGCGTTGGACCGCCACCACGCTAGTCATCCGTCCACGGTATATAGAGAACTCATCCGTCGATTCGTCACGTTAGTGTCTCCCTTTTCCGTCAAAACTTTATTATAGGTAAATGACATAACCTAGGACAAAACCTACAATCAACAAAGGAATAGGTGTTGTTGCCTGAAAATTTATCAATTAACATTGGTAGTGATTGAGTTGTCAACTGTTATTGATAATTGAATAGCAACAATCATGCAGACAGCAGTTCATATGAACAAATGAATGGAGGAAATCTGGTTAAAAACGACTGCATCCCAGTTGAGTTGAGAGTTGAGATAGCCAAATTGGGTTCCCCAGCTTCTTTACTCCAATTTTACCTTAAAGATTACCTATAAATGAGCGATATTGACATTCTTACAATTTATTGACCTCTTGCTATTTGTAAAAGAACACAAATCACCTTGCGAAACTGTGCCATTTAATATCAATTTGCCTAAATTTGCAATTAGTAGTCACATTTTTGTCTGTTGCAAAAAAGTTCAGGGGATGTCGTCAAAAATGACGCAGCAGTTTCATATCAATACCATCAAAAAATCTCACGTGGGGATTGATGTCAATTGTGATGTGATATTATCTTGATCTTGGAGAGCTGAAGGTGCCATTTGATTAAATCATATTAAAATGCTTATTACAATTGCAATTAATCAATTAAAAACGTACTGAGCTCTGACAGGTGATACTTAAGATGCGTAGAGAGAGACTGTAAATTGAAATGGTTTTTTGATTGGATTCACATTTCCCATGTTGATATCAGAACTCGACCCTCGGATTTCATGGAAAATGACTTCAAAATGCTGAAATGTGATGTAGGTAGGTAGGTACTAATCCCCAAAATCACATTTCATAAGTTATGCCATATCAGTATTAGTGGTACGGGAGCTACAACACGGAGCATTGTGTCAGCTCACAGCTGTCTGCGCCATAGATCAGCTGGGGAAACTACGAGGAGCCAAACAAAAATTGGATTAGCCAATCAGCGGCTGGAGTGGGCGGGGCGATGACCATATATGGTCATAAAATCAGACAACTTCATCTTTTCAATGAATTTTAGCATTCAAATGAAAAAATAAGGCATAAGAATGTTTTTTAACCACACAAGGCCTACACTCACCCGGTGCATAATTAACTGGCGGCTCTAAATCGCAGAGTTACAATGCAAGGTCAAACCGTGATTGGCAAATATGGCGGATTGAAACAGACGCGCCAAAAAATGTAAGCAGTACCGTGGTTTAAAAATGTCATTATTTTTATTATTTTGTTTATGGTTTTTCTAATCGTAGTTAAGTTATTATTTTATAATTAAATATTTTTGTTTATTGTAATTAAATTAAATCTTTTAACAATTTTCTTTCATAAAACCAATCCATTTACTGAATGGCCAGCTGATTGCGACGCCCAGAACCTGCAGAAAAGCCGTTTTCCTATCGCCCTTTTCGAGTCAATTCGCCGAATTTAATCAAATCACACCAATTCCTAGTGAAAATCGAAGCCTTTTCTCTCCAATAAGTGGACGCGATACCGCAAGTACCGGCTTGTTATACCGTTTTTCACCCTTAGTAGCAGGGGCTGCATTTATGCCCATATATGGTCATCAAAAGTCCATTTATTGACCAATCCATTTTTTGACCTTCGCCTCATAGTTTCCCCAACTGAGATAGATAGCCTTGTGTGTGCCAGTTATATGTAATTAGTTAAGCATATTTAAGTGACATGCAATATTCTTGAGGCCATTCTCATCAACAGTAAAATTGTCAGCTGCTGCCGTAGGTACTGCTTATATTGGTATTCTTATGTCAACATACATTTCCCACAAGTTAAACCAACTATCTGAAAAATATCTACTGACTTCTTGTACTTATATGAAAACATCAGCTGGGATTTCATATTTTTACATCAGTGCTTATTTTGGCTTAGTAGCAAAGTGAGGAGTAGCTTAAGCAGGGCTGCTGAGTTGGAGTCAGCTGGTGTCAACAGTTCTGACCAGTTAGAGCTGGAGTCAACTTTGGAAACTGAAGTTGGAGTCACAGAAAATCCATTGACTCTGCAGACTTGGCAGGGCTGGTATTCATTGACTCCACAGCCCTGGACTTAACGAAGAAAATAGCCCAAGTTGGCAGTTTGTTTGCTGATAAAAGCAGCCTCTGACCAAGTTCAAGTTCCTCATGTTACATGTAGGTACAATCCATAGGGCATACTATATAATGTGTATGTCTAATAACAGAAACCCATTCCTTACCCTAAGACTTCTGAATAGGCTTTTCAATCAAGTAGGTATGTTGAATGAACTGAGATGAGAGTTATGCCATTTTTGATAAACAATTAATTGACAACATGGAACAGAAGTTAATTGCAGTCTCATGGTACCTACTTAATCATAATAGAGTGTGAATTTCAGAAATACATGGCCTTTTACAGGTACAGATTGAAGGTGAAGTTTCATTCACCTCAGAGTGGTGCATACTACATTTGCCTTGATTCTGTCAAGAGTCTCCAAAAATGGATGATCAGAGATTTGCCCATGTGGGAAGGGATCCAAAGTTCAGGTCTATGCCTAGAAAATACAAGAAAGTCAAAATCGACAAGAGGTTTGATGCCATGTTCAAGGTGAGTTTGAAATCTTTTTTTTTATCTTTTGATATGCCTAAGATATGTGTTTGATATATGTGTAATTTCTTGTTTGTTAGATGACTGGCTTAGGAGATAGTACAGTTCCTACGTTTTAGCTATGTGGCCTGATCTCCTGGCTTCTTTGTTAGAATGTGTTTTGTAAAAGTGATGTAAAAAGAAAATGAAATAACAACTGATCCACATTAATTTTTTCAGGATAAGAGATTCAAGCTGAAGTACACAGTGGACAAGAGGGGCAGACCTGTTAACTTCTCTTCCTCTGAAGATTTGAAGAGGTACTATGAAGCTGACGAGCAGAGTGATGGGGAGGATGCAGAAGAGGAGGAGGATCAGGAGGAGGAGGATACCAGTGAGGCTGAGGAGCTGGAAGAGGCTGAAGTGAAGGATGTCAAGGAAGGTGAAGAACCAGAATCACAATCAGACTCTGGTGATGATGCTGAAGTCAGTGGCAAAGAGGATGTCAGTGAAACCCCAATGTCATCAAAGAAAACAAAAGAGTCTGACAGTAAAACCAAGAAGAAGAAGAAAAAGGCTACTAAAAAGTCAAAAACATCCCCCAGTGAGCCCACTGCTGACACATCAGAAGAAATGAAGCCTGTCAAAAAGACGAAGAAGAAGGACAAGAAGAAGTCGAAGCCTGCCGAGGAGCCGGAGGACGAGGAGGTGGGGGAAGAGGTGCGAGAGCGGCTGCTGGACCTGGCGGTGGACTACGCGCGCGGCGGCGGTGTGCTGATGGAGGACAGCAGCAGCGACGACGAGTCCGAACCCGAGGAGGGTGAGTGTTGCTCTGGGGGTCCTACAGGGGGTCCATGGAGTGGCCAACACTTCTCTAGGGCTGCTTAGAGAACAGCAGTTGGTATTGATGGAACGAATTTTCAAAGCAACTATTTGGACAAAAATTGTAAGATATATTCCGACAACTGTAAAATGTCACGACATAGATCTGCCTACATGGCTAAGCTGTACTCGTCTTGCCTTGTGCAAATTTGCGGGCTGAAACACCTTTTTGCACGCTTCTTCCAGTCCGATCGCGATTGCCTATCACAAATAGTGAGTCATCCCACGCTGACGGCGCGGTAATTCTCGCCTTACCCTCGGCCGTCTTGCAGCGGAGCTGGAGCACGACTGGGCGGAGCTGGACCGAGAGGCGCCGCGAATCTCCGACGACGAGACGACGGCGCGACTGGCGCTGTGCAACATGGACTGGGACCGCATCAAGGCGCAGGACATCATGGTGCTGATGAGCTCCTTCCTGCCGCCGGGAGGCGTCATCAGCCAAGTAGCCGTGAGTTACCGTCGACCGCGCGCTGCCTCGTCATATTTGTTCCACTGATTTCATCACCAGTATAGCGCCTTTTGGGGCGACTAACGGAGCGAGCGAGGGGGTGAGTCTTGCACGTGCGAAATTTCGAGGGGGTACCTCCAACTGACTTGTGCACGGCACCCTACTGACCGGTTTCTAGCGATGTGCCAAATTTGAGCACAATCGGCCCAGCCGTTCTCGAGATCTGGGAGCGGCACCTTGCACGTGCGCACGTGCAGAATGGGTCCCAACTGACTTGTGCACGGCACCCTACTAACTGGTCCCTAACCGTGTACCAAATTTGAGCGCCATCGGTCCAGCCATTCTCGAGATCTGGAAACGACCCCTGCACGTGCGCACGTGCAGCAGCACCCCAACTCTGGCACATGGATATGCAGTGCCTAGTGGGTGCCTACCTACATGCCAACTTTCAGCGCAATCGGCCAAGTAGTTACCGAGATATTGCAACAATTACAAAACTGACACCTCTTCGTTTTGCACGTGGCACGTGCATAAGGGGTCACCCACATGCATCGGGAATAGTCCAATACTTGGTAGAAGGAATGAAGCTACCCTACAAAAATTACCGCGTGTAAATCGGTCAAGTGGTTGCTGAGATATAAGCCTCGCAAAAGCGTCCGCACGGCCGGCCGGCCGACCGGCCGGCCGGCCGCTCATACTCAGAAATTTCCGTTAATCTAAGGAAAGACTACGCTCGCTTCGCTCGCTCCGTAATGATTTTACCCAGTGTTAACCCTCAAACCTTTTGTCATATGTTTTTTTTTCGTCCGGCCCTGGCAGATTTATCCCTCCGAGTTTGGTAAGAAGCGAATGGCGGAGGAGGAGGAACACGGTCCTCCGGAGCTGTTCGACGTCAAAGAAAAGGAGGACAGCGACTCCTCCGACGAAGACGACGACGAAAGGAAGGTCAGTCGAGCGAAAGTGAACTGACTTTGTGGTAAGTTTAAAACGATTTTGTCCGAGTACATGTTCGTCAATGTTACTCGTCTTTTTGTTACATCAATGTAAATCTGTTTATTTCCAAGCAGCGATAATCGTTACTTGCATCTTTGGTCACCTCTCTTACTTATTTCTCGAATCACCGTCTGCCCATTGTGCATCCATCGGACTACATGGTGTACTATTTTACCCTCTGACCTGACCTCCACAGGACGACGGTGGGCCGACGGGGCTCTCTCAGATGGAGTATGTCCGACGGTACCAGCTGAGCCGACTGCGATACTACTATGCCGTGGTCAGCTGTGACAGCAGGGAAACGGCCGCTAAATTATACGACGAGTGCGAGGGACTCGAGTTCGAGAGCTCTGCCAGCCGTGTCGACCTGCGATTCATCCCGGACGATATGACCTTTGATGAGGTGAGAAAGGCACCGATATGACGGGGGGACCGGAATGACGAGTTTTAATGGTGTCGATCTGTAACTTGTGAACTGAGGTACACAGAAATGACAAGCCAAGCAGAGTAATGGTACAGTAGTGGCCAGTCCGTTTATGCGTTCACATGCTGTAAAAAGTTGACGTTTGGTTACGCTTCAGGTATCTGTCTGTGGTTTTGCATGATAGCTGGAGGCTTGAGGCTTGATTGATGTCATAAAGAACACGGCAAACCCCATGTAACATGACCTTTTGTAACCTAACCCCCGTGGCTAACCTCCTGTGACCTTACCCTCCGTGACCTGACCTCCGTGACCTGACCTCCGTGACCTGACCTCCGTGACCTGACCTCCGTGACCTGACCTCCGTGACCTGACCTCCGTGACCTGACCTCCGTGACCTGACCTCCGTGACCTAGCCTCTCGTGACCTGACCCCTCCGACAGACTCCGCGGGAGGTGTGTACCGCCGTCCCGGAGGCGGGCCGATACCGACCGAGTCAGTTCGTCACCACAGCACTGCAGCAGCGGCTGGTTCGTTTTACCTGGGACGAGACGGACGCCGATCGACAGGAGGTGGTCCGACGCGCCGCCACCGCCGGAGATGTGGATGACGCCGATATTCGGGCCTACCTGGCCGACAGCAGTGACGAGGAGCAGCCAGGTGAGATTCCGGGGCTAATTGTACAGCTCTCAATATCCTGAAGGCCTAAGTGTGCACATCTTTTTTTTTGTAAACCATGCTGAGCTGACGTTCTACTAGACGCTCTGCAAAATGTGCGAGTTTCACTTAAAGATATTGTCACTACAACGCCTTTTGTAATTTAGTACACTTCCTTGTGGCCGGTGTGCGCCGGTAGCCACCACGGAGGGATTTTTTATTTAAGAATACCAATTCTGGCTCAGTTTTTATTATTCACGATAGCAGAATGCAACGATACATACAGCAATGTCCGACACCATGCACACCAACTGTCTTTCACCGTACACCAGCGCTACTAGAATACCATTCCGCCTCGTGCGTCACATCCCTTCCCGTCCCGGATGTCCGCCCGTTTCGCCGAAGCGATACTGCCGGCGGCTGCGGCGCGGCCTTGTCCGCCGGATACCCAACCTCTGTCCGGCGGCTAGCCGCTGTTGTCTGCGTCAATCTGCTCGGAAAACACGGACGTATCGTCTTCTTCCTGAGCGGCGGCAGTGGCGTCCCGGGGTGGGTGTATCATCTGTACGGCAGAGAATATACTGCGCGGCGCTCCGTCCCGCCGACCCTCGGCCGCCCTCTGCCGGCGCCACCGTTCCACGGTCTGTTTGATTTGATTCCGCGAGGTCTTACCGTGTGCTCCGGTGGCCACCATAGAGGGACGCCGATAGTGACCGCTCTCGGTTCGTTCCACCCCGCCGGCCACCCGCCATTTCATTCGCCGACGGCGCAGCCAGCCGTTTACCTTGGCCGCTATGCGAGGGACCTGTAGAACCCTGTAGTAGCAGCAGGCGGCCAGACAGCAGAGGAGGCTGAGCGCCCCCAGCACACCGAGCACGATCCACACCCAGGCCGTGTGCTCCAGGTCGATTATAGTCCGCTGGGCCCAGCTGCCGACCGGGTAACACAGCCGGTAACGCAACTGGAACTTGTCCGGGCAGAGGATTTGCTGTCGAGCTGAGACAGAGTCGACAATGGCGCGGCTGCGGCCGTGGACAGGCGTCGCGGCGGCCAGCTCGGCCCGCAGCCGCGCGGCGGCGCCATACTGAAGCAGCAGTTCCCACTCCTCCATACAGGTGTCGTTGCAGGCGCGCCGGAAGCGGCGACCCTCCACCGGTTCGGCCAGACCGAGCACACGCATGAACCGCTCGTCACTGCGCCGCTTACAGGCAACATCCAGTCGCGTCACCTGGCAGATTTGCATGCACTTGCCGTGGCGGCCGGCCGGTGGTCCGCCGTTCCGCTCCTGGCAGTACCAGCACGCGTCGTCCGTGCGCTTCTGGACGCCCTCTCTGAACGCGTGCAGCGTATCACACGTGTCAGCCGTGAAACGTGCCGTGAAGTTGGTGGCAAACACGGGTCGCAGTGCGCCCGTAATCTCCTCTTTGGTAACCTTGTCACGCACGTCATGTCGCAGCTGGGTGCGCAGTTTTCCTTTGCCGATCAGCTCCAGCAAGCCGGCCTTCACCCAGGCTTCATCCACTCGCTGTAGCGCCAGGGCCTTTTTGCGAGCGGGCGGCACGGCGGGCGCGCGGAGTACCTCCTCCTCTAGATCGGTTTCTGAGTCGTCGTCCGACTCAGTGCCGGCCGCTGCCAGGTCGTCGTCGTTGTCGCGTGCGTTGTGAGGCGGTCCGTCGTCCGCCGAGCGCACGGTGTCGTCGTCGTCGTCATCGGTGTCAGAGTACGTGTCGGGGTCGGGGTAGATGGCGTCGGACGGAGGGGGAGGGTTGACGCTGTCCGGCTCCGCGCCCAGGCTCGACATGCGCCGGTCCTGTCGTGTGAGGGCCGCTGCCCGCTGGTTGACTCTCAGAGGCTGCCAGGCGAACTCACGGCGCATGCGGGCCGCCTCTGCCCCGGCCCCTGGGTTCGCCACGGCGGCGGCCGGAGCCGGGAACAGCGCCCGGTAGCGGCGCAGGAAGTTTGCGGCCGACTCGGGCGCGGTTTCCGCCCCGGCCGCCGAGACGGCCGCCATCGCCATGGCTCGGGCGGGGGGCGGTCACGGACCGGGCCGGCTGCCGGCGGCGGCGACATCCCCCGCCCCCGCCTCCGCCCCGGCTAGAGGCGCGGCGACTGGCACCGGCCGCCCCCACCCCCAGACGCAGCCGCACCCTCCGAGCCGGCGCTGTTTTTGTTGGCCAGGCCGGGGATGTTCAACGGCGATTGGTTGTGAAGAGCGCGTTGTTTGCAGACTTCGATGTAATGATCTGGTAATGGATTCAGCTTGTGCTGGCTTTGCGGCTCCTCTTTGTTTCGAGCTGTCTGATGTTCACGCATTAAAATGACATTACCACTTAGTTAGTAAGCTAGATGTGACGGTGTTCTTCGAACGAAACCTCAAACTAATATCCTAAGATATTTTCTTTAGACTAGATTAAAACTTAACATGGTTTTGAAATTACTGTTTTTGATAGCTCTATTTGGTGTTCTTCATCGCACGACTCCTTGGTATTGCGCCAAATAAACCTCAATATAAATATCAGCGTGATCGAGCGTGATCAACGTATTTAGCGTACCGTCTCGTTCAAGGTCTCGTCGCTTCAGCCGCTTCAGCCCTTTCAGCCTGCCTTCAGCCTATTTTATGCCTGAAAAATAAGTTCGTAGAATCAGGTCGAAAATCGTGCTATTTTTGAACGGCCGCCCCAACCCAAGGAACTTACGGATTTATTACAAATATTTCCTTGGATTGATGTAGAACTCGTGTGTTCTGTTGGTCGCCTGAAGCTGATGACAAAATGTTCTCGATAAATCTTCTAAATAGCAAATCTTTTATCTCTTTTGCTTATCTTTTCGTGCCATGAGCGCTTTAATTAGATATTCAGTGAGTTATGTCTACGCTAACAGACCCTTCGAACGTATTGGATCGGTGCATCGTTCGCCAGACGAGCGAAAAATTCCACCTCACTCACCGCCGTCGGAGCTTTGTTGTGTCTGCCAATTTCGGCCGGCATCGGCCACCCCCGTCTGCCAATGGCGTGCTAAAAGTGCCGCCGCCCGGGGAGCGTATTTTGCGAGTGCGGCGGCGTTGTTTGGACACTGCCAGGAGTCATGGCCACTTAGTGTCTGAGCCACCGATTCTGCGGCTCCGAGCCGCAGGCCGTTAGCGAACCCGCAATCGACACACCGCGGCACTGACAAATCTAGAGTCGTCATAAATACCTGCGAAATAGCTAATGAAATGTGATCATGACGTGTTTTGATTAATGTTGTTAACTCAGCACGGGCTAATCTCATCGCTAGTGATGAACGGTCGATGGTTATAGCGTTCTGCGCCGGACGGCGGCCGCTCAGTCGTCATTAACCTGTCCTCGCCGCCACCCCCGCAGAGGAGGAGGAGGACGGCTCTGAGCGGGAGGACGGTGAGGACGGGAAGGAGGACGAGAAGGCGAGGATCGCCAAATACCGCGCCCTTCTGGCCGAGGGAGATGACAAGGATGAGGACAAGCCGGTAAGAAAGCACAGTTACATGCGTGAAGCATATAATAATGTCACTAAACCGCAGACGCTGCTTGCTACCATTGTGCTTTATTCCCTTCAGGACTCACTCGAAAGGAATGTTTGATATTTTTAAATCATATTTTTTAAGCTTATCGTTGCTGTGCAGGTTTGTGCATTTGTATCCCTTTTATCTAGAAGAAGTTGTGCCTTATTATTGTTTACGGGGCTACTAACGGAATCCTGTTTTCAGAATGGTGATGTTGAAATGGAGATCACCTGGGGAGGTGTGGATCTCAAGGAGAAGACTGAGGAACTGGTGAAGAAGAAGGAAAAGGAGATGGATCTCACACCCTGGGAAAAGTACATCGAGAAACAGAAGACGAAGAAAAAGGCAAAGTCGGCCGCACAGAAGGAAGCTGCCAAAGCTGTGAGTTCAGTTACGACGATGCCCTAAATGCACGTACCCAGCATTTTAAAAAGTGTCACTTAACGTTAAAAGTCAGATTCTTCAGTTCCACTTAACAATATTTTGTTTAGATGTCACCGACCCAAAGATGACGTGTTATGGTATTTACACCCGGCAGGAGTCGTCCGATGAAGACAGCGACAGCGACATTCCGTCGGACCTGGCCGACGATCCGTTCTTCAAGGAGGAGCTCGACGCTCGGCGTGCAGACAACAAAGAGAAGAAGAAAAAGAAGGCCGGAAAGGGGAAGAAGAGCGAGGCGGAGGAGCCGGACGAGAGTGAGAAGGTGAGAGACAGACACGGACACTGTCCTGGGTGCGGCGATTTAATAACCATCACGGCCGAGTATGATCGGAGCTGTGTTAGTTTCGGTATGAGGGAGCCGTTACAGACGGTCCCGTCGGAAGGCTATGTGACTGATACGAGATGATAATCAACACTCGTTCACTTATTGGCTAGTTGTAGGCGCTTTTCGATGTGGTTTGAGTAATGTAATGACTGCATTTTGAAGAATTGACAACGTTTTTATCTATCGTTAAACCTGTCTGCTCTCTCATACGATAAAATCTTAAGTGTTCTATCTGTTCTCCTTTCTGACAATGCCGCCTGTCCTCTGTTTGTCTGTCTGTCGACTCACTCTCCTCTCGCCGTCTCGCCAGGCACAGCTGGCCCTCCTTACGATGGATGATGGCGAGGAGGACAACAGGCGACACTTTGACTTCAAACAGATTGTCAAAGACGAGACCGCCACCGCCGCCGGCAAAAAGAAAAAGTGGAAAAAGAAACGGAAACCGGCCGAGGAGAAGGCTCCGGCCGATGATTTTAAGGTGAGTGATGCGTTTAGAACCGGCGTCTTGTCGTCATACTTGTCTTATTTTTGTTCTAATTGCTTTGGGTGTTGATAAGGGGAGCTGCGGCAGCTTTCAGGGTCAAAGAGTTCGATGTGATGTAATTGTAATTCCCGGAAATTGTTGAATGTAAATGTTTATTCTTGCTCAAACGGTGTGTGTGTATTTTAAGACTCTGTTATTTCTTTGGCCATGTTGCGCTGTGCTTGCCGAAAGCGCCCTGATCCTACCAGCGGTAGGTCACGTCTAAATATTTCACCGTGCATCTTACGGGGGACTCTCCCTATGCTGGGAGGCTGATTCCCCAGCACCCCACGTCCGTTCAGCACTCGCCGGGAGCACGGTACTACCCGTCCGCTCATGACTCCGTGACTAATTTCTTGCGTTGAAGTGACAGCGTGCCCCCGTGATCTCCGCTCGCCTGATCCCATCGCGCCAAGCTGACTGCGCTCTCTCACCGGTGCGCCGCATGCCAGGCCGACGCGTCCGACGCTGCGCCAACGGGCACGCCAAAACAAAGCATGTGGGCGACCTCTGGCCCGGCGCGGCCGGCGACGGCTGTTGAATGATGTCCTGCGCCCCCTAACACTCCCCCCCCCTGCTCCCAGGTGGACGTGGCCGACCCCCGCTTCACAAAGATGTTCGAGTCGGCCGAGTTTAACGTCGACCCGTCGGACGCCCGCTTCAAGCCGACTGAGGGCATGAAGCGACTGGTGGGGGAGAAGCAGCGCCGCGTGGCCGCCGGAGAGGCCCGGCCCGCTGACGAGGTGAGACACGATCGGGTATTTCAGCCAGAGCTCGTTCTAAAGCACTGATAGCTCGGTGATTATGGGTTCAGATGTGGGGTTCTTATCCCATTTTATTTTCGCAGATTATTTTGCCCGTCAAAGTTTTCATGGGTGTCGCATGGCGGTTGTTATCGATAGTTTCCCTTTAAACATGACAGATGACCTCCCTTTCTCCTGACAAATGGTCATATTTAAATTTGTATCGAAATTATGCTGAGTTGTCGATGCAAGTGATAGGAGAATCCTTCAAGCCATTGTCCCTGCACCTTTTTTGGGGACCGCACAGACTTGCTTCCTGTGTCTGAGACTAACTTGGCTCTCGGAAAATTGAATGGCGCTAGTATGTAATATTTGTGTAGCCGCGTCCCTTGCCAATGAAAACACCGAAGACAATGAAGAATGGATGTCATTTAATCGCGGCCGGATCTGGGATATTTCCAGCGCCTAGCTAATGTTCCATGGTACTCTAACCCAGTTTCGCTGAAGGATGAGAACATTCTTGGCTTTCGACACTTTGATAGTCGGAGAAGTGTCACGCAGACAGGCGTGGTTAGGGAAGTTTTTGATGATCTATTCTTGGCATTCACTATCGATTTGTTCCCCGTGTAATGCCTCATGACATTGGGTATAGATCGCAAAACACCGGCAACGTTTTCGACCTCGGTTCAGCTAAGTTTTCATCGTGCTGTGGTAAGGTGACGCAGCTCGCTCTTCGTCTGCCTTTCATCGGGTCACAGGTGATGGAACCACCGTAGCCTGTGATGTTTCGTGATCCTAGGACACCGTTGCGAGGCAGCGGCCACCCGACTGCCGTGGTATCTCGTCTGAGAGCGTGTGTTTGATCGTTCCAGGAGTCTGCCCCGAAGAAGGCGCGCCTATCCGCCGCCTCCGCCCCTGCCCCCGCCCCCGCGGAAGACCTCGGCGCTCTGGTGAACGCCATCAAAACCAAAACGAAACAACTGAAAAAGAAAAAGTCTAAGGTGAATCGATAATATTTTCATCGTTACTGCGTGTGGTAAATACATGTGCATGTGTCATCGGGCATTATGTCATAACGCGGGCTGGGCGCCGACGCATATCACAAGCTCTAGGGTTAGTGGGATGGGGTCAGACCCCAACGCGGCAGCACGCCGCTAACCCTCAGAGTCAGAGGAGTCTCCGACTCCTTCCGCCGGCACAGCGGCGACGACCCGCGACCCGCCCTTTCTCCCTCCTTTTCTCCGCCCCTTCCCCGCTCCGTCGTTCCCCGTCCCAACCATCTCGTACCATCCCATCCCTAATGCTACGACCCTCCGCAACGCGCAGCGGCCGTGGCTGCGCCGTGTGCCGCGCGGTCGGCGCGACAATTGTGGCACAGTATCACAGTGGAGTGACGCGTGGCGCGGCGTGACGTGACGACGTCACGGCGGCACCAGCTCACGGTAGACCCGATGCCTTCTGGGCGTGACGGGTGAGCTGCTGTCCAGGACGGCCGGTACCGGCGCCGTCAGCGACCTGTAGGACAGACAGACGGGCGTCAGGGAGCTGTAGGGGGACAGATGGACGAGCGTCAGGGACAGACAGATGGGCGTCAGGGACAGACAGACGGGCGTCAGGGAGCTGTAGGGGACAGATGGACGAGCGTCAGGGACACACGGATGGGTGTCAGCGAACTGCGGTAACAGACAGACGTCAGGGACGGACGGTCGCCAGGGACCTGTGGAGACGGACAGACGGCCGCCAGTTGACCTGTGGGACAGACGGACGGCCGCCAGGGACCTGTGGGACAGACAGGCGGGCGTCAGGGACCCGCGAGGACAGAGTCAGGGACGGGGGGGGGGGGCGAAAAAAGGGCGTCTGTTGAAAGGCGTTTCGCAGGAAGCTGGCGGGCACTGCGACATACTAAGAAGTGTAGGGGGAAGGGTTATCAGTAAGGGCCCTAGCATCTGCAGGACATGGGGCTCGGCACTCATCAGATGAGTGAGTATTCTTCTAGGTGACTGTGAGATAAAGTCTGCAGGTGGCTACGGGTGGTAGTCTCTATTTGGGTCATTTTAAGTGTGGAATTAGTCGAGCAAAGGCAACGATACATAACTGTTGGACCGATTTTCTCACCAGGAATCACTGTCAGTGGTTTCTGTCACAGTTTATGGCTGTGCTGGTTAGACTTCATATTTGTAAAGCAGCTCTGCTCATTGGTTGAAAAAATCGGGATTTTTTTAACACGAGAGAATCAAACATTCACTAATTCCATTGAGTGGTTCCGTGCAGTTACAGCTTTGCGGTTGGGCAGGCTAGGTTTTGTCGTACGTGTATGTTTGCTTGTCAGATTATTCGGTTGGCTTTAACTCTCGGCATTCCTGCACGAAGCATGCACGAAGGCTTGCTTGGTGCACTGCATATGCCCCGGCTAGGGGAGGGGGGGGGGGGGGTGTACGACTTTCATCGCCAATTTCACCAATCACCCCCTGCAAAGCTAAACCTTCGTAATAAGACGGTGTATGCATGCACTATGCAACTTCACATAACGACCAACTTGAAACTTCCTGGTTAACCCGCGCCCCACTGGGGGGAGGCTATAGCCCCCTCCCGTTTTTCTGCAATAATTTCTAAACCGCTTGACGTATTGCCGCCAAATTTTCAGTACCTTCGGTTGCATCAATTCGACACCTTGTGTCAAAATTTGAACCTCGTATCTATTATAGATCGGCCGGAAATGACGTCAGAGTGACGTCATGTTCGGCCGATTTCGACACAAAACATTGAACCACGGGAATCGCTCCCAATCCGAGTTCAGTTTTTAAGCTAGATCCAATTTCTTTGCATGAGGGGATTCAGAATGGACTGCGCTATCAAACGGCTATCTCGGATTTTCAAAATTTTAAAAATTGAAACGTTTATATATTAATATTAAAAAATTATTTTTATCTTTTTTTTCAAAAAGTTTTTGACTCTCGCTCTCTCTCTCTCTCTCTCTCTCTCTCTCTCTCTCTCTCTCTCTCTCTCTCTCTCTCTCTCTCTCTCTCTCTCTCTCTCTCTCTCTCTCTCTCTCTCTCTCTCTCTCTCTCTCTCTCTCTCTCTCTCTCTCTCTCTCTCTCTCTCTCTCTCTCCCTCATAAACGACATCGAATTCGAAATCTATGGCCTAAATGGACATGTGTCACGTGACCGACTTATGATATAAGATTTCTGTGACCTGCACGATGACCTGACCCCGACCTGAAAATCAAAGTACAAGTTTGGTACCCTCAGGGTGTCTAAAGCATCTGCTCACGAGTGTGTAAACCAAAAATCAGCCTGACCTGACTTGTAAGACGGCAGCCAGAGCCCAAAATGTGAACAAGTCAAACATCGATAATTTTTACTTTGACCTGACCTGTGACGTCATCGGTGACCGCGAGGTCAATGAAATTAGATTTCGTTCGACAGGTTTTCCGGGGCTATCAGATCCCGTTTAAATTTTGACGATCGGCCTAGTAGTTTCGGAGTTAGGAGGGGGCTAAGAAGAGCCCCCCCCCCCCCCCAGTAGGTCGCGTAATACACAGACCCCAGTGGGGCGCGGGTTAACCGACTTGGACCTGACCTTGGCCTTTGAACACTCAAGTTGACCTTTTCGAACGATTATTCATTGATGCTGTACACGGTGACAAATGTAATGGGACCATAATCAATCATTGCTTTGCGATCATTTTTGCCGAAGTTATTGCTTGAAAGCCGATAACAAGGGACCTATGTGTCCTGAACCTGATGGAAGAAGGTTCACCTGAGACCTAAAAATTGGGAGCCGATTGCTGCGTCTTATAAGTCGTAACCACGATTACTTTACTAATGCATCGGACTTTTGCGAGTATTATGAAAGAAATGTCTTTCGGCACGCCTGTTTACACATCTTTTCCGCACATGTGAAAATTTCAGACCCGGGTCGTTCAAGGTCAGGTCACCAGATCACGTCAAGTGACCTTACCTCAGAAAAAGTTCAAAGACTCGCTGTTGCTACACCGACTGAACGATCGCTTTGAAACCTTCAGCAATTGTTAGCAGTAACAGTATATAAGATTATACATCGGAATTTTGATATATGTGGCCTAAGGTCAGGTCAATTTTGCGACCTCTTCATTATAAGTCAATGGGAGAATGTTGAAATGCGCTGATTTTGTAGAAATCTAACAATAAATATGTAAATCTGATTTTAGATTGTAATTTTTTATTTTTTAAATTTAATTCTAATCTGAAAATCTTATCGTAAAATCTTTAAACCTTATCTTTCTAAACACTCTCGAACATATTTTTATAGCTAAACATGACACACTGAATCGGGAAATTGCACCCGTGACCCCTCTGTATGTCCCTGAGGTCATCTCAGGTCATGAAAGGTCACCAGCAGTTTTTTTTTACTATAACTTTTGATAGAGAGGTGCTTGAGCGGGGAGAGCACGTCAGAGGTGTTAAGCTCGACAATACAAATCGACTGATATGACCCCTTCCGGTCAGGTCGTGACCTTGACCTAAGGTCAAACTTTCAAAATGACCTTTTAAGGTAAACTTACCTACAGTTCATTCGACGCGTCTTGACGAGAGAAACACGATGTTGGCAAAATTTAAGTCGTGGCTCTCTTGATGCTACAGTTATCACCAAACCCCTCTGGAGGGTAAACCGTTGACGAGAGGTCAAATGTGAGAAGGACACTTAGAAAGGCCTATGAAAGGGCTATCGAATGCGCATTTCCGCGGCGCTGTAGCTCTATTAGTTCGCGGGTAGTGCGTCGGGTGTTTCGAAAATTGTTGAAATAGGCAACATTTGAGGTCTTTGATTACCTCTGGTGACCTAACCTAAAAAAAATATAATAGTATTTCCGTTATTAATACGCTCTTTCGAATGTCACTTACCGCGTGCCGCGATGTGGCCAAGGAGCTGAGTCAGACGGGGGTCTGAAAACGCCGCCCCCCCCCCCAAGCACGACAAGGAAAACTCAGACCACCAGTACGGCGCGGGCTAACGCGCGCCCCGCTGGGGGGGGGGCAGAATCTGCCCCCCTCCCGTTTTTCGCCAATAACTTCTAACCGCGTTACGTCAGCGACGTCAAACTTCCAGTACCTTATCATACATCAATGTCACACGTTCCCTGAAAATTTGAGCGAAATCTGTCGTAAAAGTTTTGAGAAAATGACGTTTGAGTGACGTCATGTCACGCCATTTTCGCCCAAAAAGCGGCAAAACTTCAAACGCCCCTAACATCTTCATTTTAAAGGCTTTTTTGGAAAGTTTGGGTTTTGGCCCAAATATTTAAAAAAAACGACTTTTTTGGGAAAATAATTATAAAATCCATAATTTTGAGTGTATCGAAAAAAAACCCGAATATATGTCAGAGAGGTGGTCTATGTGCACCTACATACCAATTTTTAGAAAAATCGGTTCAAAAATGTGGGAGTTATTCAAAATTTTATGACGTCACGACACACAACATTTTTGAAAAATGATTTTTTGAAAGTTTTAGACCTCGTACGGAAACGAAAATAGCACCATTTGATTCGCCGTGAAAAACTGCATCAGATAGACACCGTTCTAGATCTTAACAACCAACTTCAAAATTTGACCTCACTTGACCTGACCTTGACCGGATCTCGACTTAAAATTCATCCACATGTGGCGCATATCACTTATTGAGTGTGCCTGTTGAATTCTATGAATAAAATGACCTGTAAAACACGTGTCGCACATGCCCTTTTCTATATTTCGTTTTTGGTGACCTGACCTGACCTTGACCTTAACCTTTGCATGACATTGTATGCCACGAATATTGTCTTGGTAGCCTAAGAACACGTCTTGGACAATCAGTCTCAGTACATTCTTCGGCAACTACCGGTGCAAGGCTGATACTGTAAAAACTTGCATTTTGTACCCTTGACCTGACCTTGACCTGACCTTTGACCTACAAACAAAAATGGCTCTTAAGATCCGCCTTGTTGAGAGCTTTCGATTGCCGTTCTCCCCCGTCTTTCTACGGCCATCGGTTCGGAAGTTAGACCTTCAGGCAGGGATGCGGTGTCGGAGTCGGAGT